TTAAAGTCTTTATTGTGTCAAGATATTTATTATTCTCATACGGAGAGAAGAAACAAGAATGCCTGACACTGAGCCCGATTCGGACATCGGATACGGTCTGGTCTGACATTGCTTCATATTTCAATTTGTATGTCATCGAAATGACATCCTAAGTATTCGGCCGACTTACCTCTACTTAATGTTCAAAATTCAATTAGTGAACTAAACTATCAAGGGAAATGTGTCATCCTTTGAACATAAAATCTATATAGATATGTGACTACGTAACATGTACTCATCATTGAACCATTAACGAGGCAACACTTTTTTTATTCGATCGTGCATATTGCGATATTATTATCATCAAACGGAAAAAAAAGAAGAGAAAAAGAAGCAGAAGAAGAAACCGAACGAATGAACGACGATCGGTTGATCGACCGAGGCGATCAATGTGCACAAAGAGTATAAAGAAGAGAAGAAAAAAATATATATAAATAAGAAAAGAAAACCACCAACACAACAAGGCCACAGAGAGAAACTTCTTAATAGTGACGTGTATACACACACACACACGCACACATACAAATACATCACTCTAGCTTTTCCGGAAATGTTATACAAAAAAAACGAGAGAAAGAGAGAATAAAAGAAAAGACAAACGTTGATTTATCCTGGTTTGAAAAAGAAAACAAGATACTATAAAAAAAAAAGAGAAGTCAACAACTGTTTATTACTTAGACCAGAATAAATAAGCAGGAGAGAAAAAGAGAACAAGACAAGATACATTTTAAACATATCGAATTAAATAAGTATAAACAGCTGGCAATTCTGCTTGCCCACTTGTATGTGATTGGGCATCATTTCGATGATTTGTTGTCGCGGCATATATCGTGAAACTATAAACACCTGATTTAGGTAATTTCAATGCAAATATGACATTGAAACCACCATTGGGTTGAATTGTCACATAGTCGGATGCATTCAAACGTTGATTTAAATTTTGCAATTGTGCACGTGTGGAATGATCGACTGATGCATGGTGATAGATCAAATCGAACGAGAAATCGACCATTTTCCGTATTTGAAATTGCAGATCCAGTGCATTGGTTCCATGCAATGTTATTGACGGATCCGGATGACTCAGTGGAGTCATGCCGAATTCCGAAAGTAGATTTGTATTCGCGCCTATCTTCGGCATCGCGATGGTAGGCGACGTTCCTGAGCCATTTGTATCTCGTGATGATGTCGAACCTTGGAAAAGATATGTATGAGTTACTTAATATTTTTTGACGTCAAGAATGTGAAAATATTATTGTTGGACTCTTGACGGTCTACGTTCCCTTGCTGAGAAAAACATTTGATATTTTAGAAATCAGATTTGACAGCAGGAAGAAAGTGTCATTCAAGGCGAAAGCTACGATCATCTTTCTTTTCGATTAGTTTTGATTAAGTAGATCGAACGGAGTTCTTATCGCTGGAGGTTTAGACAGAAAAGAACTTTACATTATTTCCCACGAGAAAAATCTCCAAATAGGTTTTCAATGATTGAAACAATTCAAGAACCTTGAAGTCTGCTTGAAACAACAGGAAAATGCAGACGAACAGGAAATCAATGACATTAACAGAAAACAATAACCTGTTTGCTTTTGCTAATGAAATGCGAGGGGAAGAGAACAAGAAAGTGATTACATGAATTTCATGATCGATCAACGTCAGACATTAAATATTCGATGATTGATATGCATTAGTCAAGCTATTCTAAATGAACCATCAAGGTCTCTGAATAAACTAACTAGAAAACGATATTTGTCGTCTCATCCATTTTCTATAGCCATCATCGATCTCTGAGAAGTTTGTTGGCATACTTACGAGGTGAAACACTTCGTTCAGATTGATAAAAACTTGCATTGATATGCGGCGATGTCATTCGTTGTTGTCCATTGGATTTGGCACCATCAAAAGAATAATCATGATATAAATGATTATTGTTAGGAGTTGTGTTAGTTGGTGGCGTCGAGATCGACGCCGGCGCTGGTGCTATTGTGTCAACTGTCGGTGGCTTCGAATAATTGATAATGTATTTGCAACAATGTGACATTGTTCGTTTCTCTGTTTGGTATTCTGGATCACGTGCATATAAATCAATGCCATATTGTCCATCATGTGGTAAATGAATAATAAATGAAATTATAAAATCATATTCATCATATTCGTATTTGACATATTTATCGAGACCATTGGATGCTGCTGAATTCGAGATGATACTTTGATCGTGATTGATTGATGAGTATTGATTCGAACTTAATTTACCATGAAATTTTAGTTGTTTAGGACAACGGAATTTGATTATAATTGGTAATTGATGTGTTTCGAATATGGCTTGGAAATGTGTCAATGGACAAATATTGAAATGACGGATAGCTTTCGCCGGTCCCCATTCACCTGACGCGCATGCTGGAAGAGGATGCTATAGAGAAAGAAGACAAACGGTCTATATAACCAATAAATGCTAGTACTTTGTTTACCATTCGTTGGATTAAATTTTTACAGGCAATACGATATTTACAAACACATTTTAATTTAAAGCTTTGTCCAAATGGATTGGGATCCGGTTCCTGAAAGAGATAACATCAATGAAATGAGTGCTTGGGGAAAACAGGATAATGATCGAGCAATTTGACTTGCAAATAATATTAGAAAAAAAACATCTCCCTCGAGATCTTTACACAATATTATGTTAACTCTCTTCAGAAATGATTAACATGAAAGACGGTCTGAAAGTAATTTGAAGGAAATCAACTGTCGATTCTTACCACAAGCGATGCGAAAATTTCAATAAAATAATCTCCTTCTTGTGGTACATGGATATTAAACGACACCAGATCATCTTGAACTGTATGTAATACATAACGTTCCAGACGAACACCTTGGAATTCACTTAGATCTTCTGCTTGTTCACTCATGGATGTATGTGCAAAACGTAGATGAAAATGAAAGGCAAGACGATGCTTAAGTGAATCGGGCATACGCAATTTGATGTCACATGCTCCCCGATTGTCAGTTTGTATAACGGCATGCTGTTGATTAACGAATGACAGATGATAGTGAAAGAAAAGTGAACGAACAAATGGCAATTGTTCGAACTGTTGTAGAGTTATCGGTGATTCCAGTAATTGCCATTCGGTTTTATAAGGAAAGAATTCCAAAATGAAATCTTCGGGGTCGGGTAGGAAGTAATGTTCATCGTACTAGAAGAATACAATCAATGCTCAACAAATGTTGAAATTGTTGTCATTTGTTTTTGTTACTACCTGATACTTTATTTTTTCTCGTGTTGGTTTTGGTGGTGCTACATCAACTTGTTTTTTGTCTTTACTCATGACTAAATGTCTAGAACGAGAATAAACGTGCTAGACATGCGAAAACATTTCCACTGGGAAGAAAGTTTAACTTACCTAGCACCCCAATTGCATTGAACAAATCTCCATTCACCATCGATGACTACAGCATTCCATGTATTCGTGAATTTACCTTCGGCAATCTGCATTCCTGGCTCATAACCAACACTTTTCGAATGACCTTTCACATCAACACAGTATATAGCCGCAAAACTAACATAAGATAAGATCAATCATCTCGGAAACTAATAAGAAAGCTCTTCTTCTACCTGCACAATCGCATAAATAACGTATGATATGTTTCCGTGCCGTATTTGATGCCACGTAATAAACCCATCGGCGTATCTGCCGCGAGATTATTATGAAAATCAATTGCATTTAAATCTTTAACTGTAATCCACCGGAAAATAGCCCTAGAAACAGAAACATTTTCATGCATACATTGTCGTCGATATTCTTTTCATCCCTGAACATCAAACAAAAAAAAACATAATGATGGCCGTAAAGCACATAGCAGCAAGATCGAAAAAATATATGCATGTAGATATCAAGGGAAGAAAATAAACACCTTCATTTTCATGCATAGTTGTCATTTTGCTGTACTTACACAAGAACTTAAAATAACTAAATTCAAAACTAAAGTTTCTTTCTTCTGTGAACGGATAATGGAAATGAGTGGTGAGCTGTTGGCTTACCTGGCTTTTTCAAGATCTGTTGTGAGACCGTATGTTAATTGATCGACTAATTCAGTGTAGGATGTTTGATCACTCTCAGCGACAGCGATGGCTTGTTGATCGACATGTTCGAATATAGATGGATCTTGGTAAAGATCACGTTTACGATGATGCGGAGGTTGAGGCGGCGGCGGCTGACGAAGGGAAAATGTGTTTGCTGATTGTAGGTCATCCAGACCGTTTTCAGTCTAGAATTGAAAAAAAAAGAAACGCAGAATATAAAAACAATTCAAATTTGTGTATCGATTTCGTCCGGATTTTGGCAGGAAGTCACGGAAATGACATTATGTTTTTCCCTAATGCTTTCAATGGTGATTGATCGACTCGACAATTGTTAACATAGCTATTAACATGTTTTTCATTGTCTATATGTCGTCTGTCTTCCGTTTGAAACTCGCGACAATCTGTCTGGTTCGACATTGTTTCCTTCGAAAGAAAAAAGAACAGAGAAGTTTGATGAAACTTACTAAAGCAGCTAATTCTTTTTCTTGTATTAATGTTATCATTTCTTTGCTGAATTTTGAAACAAGCGAATGGGTTGATTCTTGTTCTTTTTCCATTAGTTGTTTACGAATAAGTTCACGTTTCTTCTCTCGTTTCAATGTCATGTTTTGTTCTAGTTCGGCTTTTTCTTTTTTAAAACGAAGAGTTAATTCCTGCGAAAAAAATCTTGGTAATTCAATCGGATCTTCCTAGTCAAATTCTCACTCGTTCAATACTTTGATCTCGTTTTTTCTGTAAATCATCTTCGTATCTGGCCGTTAATAATTGCAATCGTTTTTCCCATTCATCCGTAACTTCACGTTCAAGTTTCTTTTCTTCCAATTGACGATCCACTTGGAATTTTTTGAATAACTGATCTTCTTCCTCGCGATGTTTATCTTCTAAACTTTTTTGAGCACGACGTACTTCTTCACGAGCATGTAGCACATCCTAATAAAAAGAAGAGATCTTCATACGAGTTACGAACATCCTCAATGTTACGCCATACAGGTGGTAGAGCAGGAAACTTGTGTATCGCTGAGATCTTCTCTCGGCCTAGATGAAGTAATTGTTGAGCTTTCATAGCGTGAGCAATGGAAACAGATTGAGAGTCTAGATTTGTACTCTAAAAGACAATATCAAATGGAAAACTTCTCGACGAAAGGACAAGAAATGCTTATTATTACTTTTAAACGATCATCGAGCTTTTGCATCAAATTTAACTTGGGTGCTTTCATAACATTTTGTATATGAATGTTTTCTGTGGAGAAAACACCTTTACCAGACCGAGGTACATGACTTTGACAATAGATTTCTTTGTCACTTAAATCGATCGAATTGGTAAAGTAAGTTTTGAAATCTAATTGACGATCACATTTTAAACATTTAAAGCATAGTTTATGATAAAGAGAATCTTTCACAGGACCGATGCGTTCCGTGACATAGACAAGTTGTTGACACCGCCGACATCGATCACGAAGTAATGTCAACGAAGATAGCGAGGATGCTGAAGCTATGGTTGGAATGGCTACTGTTTCTCCTGCTAAGTTAAATGACGCTGGAGATGTACTTGAACTACTATAATTATTGGATGAATTGATACTTTCATTTGTGTTCATGATCTTAAAATACAAAATGATGAATGTCGAAAAGTCAAAAAGCCGTCAAAAAAATAGTTAGTGAACAGCACGCGCATTTACTAGACAGTTTGTTGTTCTTTGCTCTCTCTCTCTGTCTCTTCAACTCACTAAATATAAAGCGCTATGCTCCTATTTACATTGTCTCTGTGACAGATTAGCCTCTCATTCGCGCACGGTCTGTCTCTCTCTTTTCCTTCTTCTTTTATCCATATGAACCTCATACAATTTTAGGTCGATCTGTCTCCTTTTTTTTCTCTTCTCTCTTCATCATGAACCGACACAGGTCTACATAATAACAACAACAAAAACACCGCACTTCATCTATCTATTGAACAAGTAGACACACAAACTGTTCTCTACGTCTTCTTCTTCTTTTTTGTCATCACAAAACGATGTTAATCGGCTTGATGTTGACACTAGACGACGAGCAAGAAAATTGAAAAAAAAAGGAGAGATGTCGTATCATAACAAAAATGATTCTGATGTCTTTATTAATTGTCCATAGTATGAAGGTTATCTTCGTCGAATTACTATTTATATGCATAACAAGACGAAAAGAAAACATTCGAATGAACAAACCGAATGATGCAACAAGCTCAGGGTCAAATTCTCTTTTTCTACAGAAGGAAAAAAACTCGTGGATTAGAAATCTGAGAGGAGATTCTCTTCCTTTCTTGAAGATTATTTCAATCTTCAGAAGAAACAAACAGAATTCAAATAGTAAGATACTTGTCCATATTCTCGCCCAAAAAAAATCATATGGATAACAAGTAATCTGTGGTTTACGGTAGTTGAAAATCTACGTACGATACCCAAACATTAAATGAATCGAACAATTTCAATGTAGCACAACAAAAGGATCGACGCAATTCTATATTTTCAACGTAGTTTAAGCCAGTATAAGTCTTACTGAATACGTCTACAGGTGTATTGTTGTTTCTCGATAAAGTATTTGAAAGAGGCCGAGGTAGTATGTTTGAAAAAATATTTATTCTATTGGATTAATATTACACTGAGAAAAATAGGTAAAGATAATGGAATCGTTGCATTTCTATTTATTTGTCGTGAAAATGATGTTTTAGAATGTAGGATTTCTTTTTTTATTCTTGTCTGTACGGATGATTTGTGCAGTTGTTGTTTCGAACGGCTCGTTCTTTCTTCTTATTCAAATAGAAAATCAAAACTAAAGGAAAAGATTTGTCTTTCGTTCTTTTCTTCGTACAGTTTCTACACCTTTATCACATGAGTACACTTATACAATCGAGAAATTAAGAAGGAAGCAGTCAGCTTTGTAAAATAACAAGGCAAATATCATCTATTTGGCTTAGGTTCTCCTCAAAGAAAAATATACAGAACATAAAACGCGAAGAAAGCAGAAAGCACTTTAACTTGACATGCAGCCAAGTTCCCATTTGGGCATATGTCATCTGAGACGAGAAATTCTAACATAGACTGACCTGTTCGAAATCTGGAATCATGTCCATGACTGTTCGTCAGCGATTTTTCTTACAAAGACACCATTGGAAAAAGAGCAGAGGTTAATGAGTTGTTCGTGGACGGAAATTGTACGCAACACTTGAGTTTATTTCATTCATATGTAGACAGCATGAAAGTTCAGAGCGAAGATAGCGATCGAGAAAAAAATTGTGTCCGTCTCACGCATTAAGAAGTTGGGACATGTAGAACATATTTTGGCAATATGAAAACTTAGTCAATCGAAACGACCTTTCTCTCAAAATTATATTTGTATTTATTATTTCTAATCAAGATGGCTACTTGATAAAAAGAAAATGAATTCCATTGAAACATATTCGTCTCGAATAACGAACAAACAAATAGAAAGAGCCGAACGAACGAACCAAATCAATCAACATACCTGGTATTGAATTGAATGCGGAAAAAATTTCACATGGATTCTCTATTCGGATAACAAGTAAGAAATGTCAAGTGATGTATTAAAATGACTGTATGAAGGGTATCCAAATCAAGTCTATCAATCCATAGATTACCCATTCTCACTCTATGGACATGTCACAGCTTTCTCCCAGCTGTCGCTGGTTAGCAGTGTTGCTTAGCTGATTGAATTTCGACGAGAAAGAATCATTATGGCATTACACATTCGAAGAGAGAATAGAAACCTTTGTCTATTCCCAATTAAATTACAATTACTACAGTCTGTTTAAAAGTACCTGTAACAGTACGGGTATAGGAACTATTAAATGACAATTGTCATACGAGACAATTACTAAACAGTTTTCTTAATGTAATGGTCTCTTCGGCAGAGAGAGAGAGAGAGAGAGTAAAAAGGTGAAACGAAATAATTCGAAGGTTAATTAGTGTATTTCACTTGATGAGTTTTATCGTGGAAAAACATGTTGTTCTAGACAACGCTAATGAACGAAAAATTCATCAAGTTCGTTCATTTTCGATTGTCTGAAACTAATTGCTGGTGAATCACATATATCTGGTTGTCCTCGTTATACGTATGTTATCAAATACGAAGTTATTATTCCATGAAAACTGTATGATCCAAGTGAATCGCTCATTTCAATAGCTATAACCAATGGAAAGTAAATTAGTATTGTTTTATCCATTAATCTAATTTTTCCAAATCTACTTATCGAAAAATCAACAAGTCTTACAAGAATCTCTCTTAAATAAACGAATTTTTAAAAATAATTTCATTCCTTGTTATACCTACCGCCATCTACAAGTGTGCACTCAGTTCAATTGGCCATTGAACGGCATTCTTTGTATGCATTCCTTGTTTCTCTTATCAGTATGCTTCCATCGAAAACTTAACTTCGTCGAAATAATCATGTTCGATAGGTTGATTTCCCAAAATTATTTACTTCTCTTACTAAATATCGATCCCAGCCAACCTTCGGCACTCGTGAATACAAATCTCTTAAATATTCGCAATGTTTATTCTTCGTTTATCACAATCAATCGTGAAGCACATGTCTGGTATCAAGAAGTGTATCATACTCTGGAAAAAATTCAATTTGGTGGTTCACTTGGCACGAATGGTCTCTTAATAAAAGGCTCGAAGAAATGTCTGAATGTCATTAAACGTATTTATTGTCAACGTTTATTGCAACCACCGTATGGTTTTATTATTTCGGATCTTGGTAAGCGACTTGCTTTTCATTTTTCTGTCGAAAGTATAAGAACGAAAGGCAAATAATGAGAAGTATTGAATAGAGACACACAGAAAAAAAGCAATGGAACGATAGTTGGGAGTATTGTCTCTGAATTTCGTGATTGAATAGACGAAGATCAGTTAATTGACTTAGGCGATTATAATTTAAATCTTGAAGAAGTATACCGGAATTGAAATGATAACAGAGACCGAGAATCACAAAGAAACATATGGCCCATACGCTAATCACACTAAGGAGGATTAAAATCGAGGATGAAATAATGTGTTGAACTGATGCCGGTTTCGACACCGGAAGAGTGTGGGTCGGTTGAAGAATACTAAGAATCGATTTCGATATGTAACTATTACGTTTTTCTAACAATTTCGACATCTGAAACTGGAGAATGTACGAACAGAAGTTTTCTTTTATCAATGTGTAAATAATATGTTAGAATCGACATCATTCGTGCACGTAAGTGAAACTGAATATTCCAGAATGCCACTTATTTCGTGTGCATTGCATTGACAATCAACTGTTGTGCATATGGATTTTATATTCGCATGATCTTGTCGAATGGCTGTTCGAAAAACAAGATAATTAAAGTTTGATAATGCGCTTAATCCTGTTGTTTTCTTTTTCTAGTCGAGTTAAGTAACATTCATGTGAAAAAACAAGAACGAGATCCACTCATCTCGTTACCTAATGTATTGTGTCTGATTATCAACGACATTAATCGTCGCAGTGGTGGTTATGGCGCATCAATGGATGAAATTAAGACAACATTAAAATTGCAATTTCCGGAATTTCCATTGCCAACAGATGATATTCTCTATAGTACAATTGGTACATTGATTCAAGACAAAATTCTCTTACTCAAAAGTAAGTGTTTATTTAAAAGCACCGCGAACTTGAAATTTTTATTCTGTTCGTTTAGATGGTGGCTATACGACACTACCTTGCGAACAAGCGAAACAAGTGAAAACACAATTCATCACGAAAGATCATAAACTTTATTCGAGTAAGCATTTTTCAGCAGATGAAAACATTTCGTAAATGAATGCATTCAATCTAGATGAACCTAAATCTATTTTTTCACGTTTAATACACGGTTTTCGCCGTCGTGATCAGAATCAATCACCTCCTTTTGCTTTCAATGCTCAACTACTCTCTTCACCAACATCCAATCCTAATTATCAGCAAGCTCCTCGTGTTGTTACTGACTATGGTATGATCGAATCTAACGCTCAATTTCGTGCCTCGTCACGTTCACATCCACACACCATGCGTCGTGCATCTTTACGAACACATTCAACAGATACTCGTCAGCAACAACAACAACAACAACAGCAACAACTCATACCTACTCCTTCGTCGTCCGTATCAACAGCACAATTGCGTCGTCCTCGACCACGATCCTTTAGTTTTGATGAACAATTATCTATCATCGACGATGATGATGAATCACTTGTACATGACATGCCTTTCAGCGTTGCACCAGTTCGACAATTTCGGCAACCACTGCCGCCACAACAACAACAACAGCAGCAGCAACAGCAACAACAAATTCAACCGCAACATCGCCGTTTGAATACATCGAAAGTGAGTTCACGTTGCCGTGCTCGCCGCCGCCGTTCACGATCACTAACCAAACGAACGAGCCATAAACAAACAAATTCGCAACAACATCATCATCATCACCATCATCATCTACAGCAACATGAATGGCTACATACGACCGATAATCATCAACATTCAACATCTAGTGAGGAAATTGACGATGAGGAAGACGACGACGACGACGAAGAGGATGATGACGATGTAGAAAACGAAGCACATTTTTCGCCACGTTCAACATCAACAGCAGCCAATCGGCCGCGTAATCGTAAACCAATCTTACACGCATCAGATTTTGATCGACGTTTATGCGAAGCAGCAACGACAATACAGACGAATGAACAAGAAAACTCTTCTCCAGTTAACAAGGAAAACATTCCTCATCATACAAGTCCTGTTTCTCAGCCATCAACGGAACCTGACGAGATGAATCTGATTGTTTATAGTAGTAATAATGATTTGTTGAATGCAACACTGATAAGTCGAAAAAGTGAAACGAATACATCGTTTAAAAAGTTGACATGTCATGAACAACTCATTGCTATTCGTTATGGCTCACCAGACTCGGGTATTAGCGGCAAAACTTGAGAGATAAAGGTCTCAAGAATTTTTCTCCTTTTTCTTTTCGTATTATTGTACATTCGATTAAATTATACGTGAAATTTACTTTGCAGGAAATCAACTTGTTATTCTTTCTTTGTTTGTTGTTTGATAATAATTATAATAAAAGAAAATCCTACTTTTTTTGTTCTGTTCTTTGTCCACGTATAGCTTCTGCTATGCTTTTCCTCTAAATGCTTTCTCTCTCTCTATGTTTCTGCTGCTTTCAGGTTTGAGTATCTTTACATATGCAATGCCCAACTACTACTTCAGTTCATGATTTACACATTATTGACGATGCTAATAATATTGTTCGCTGGCATCGAATGTCTCAATGTCCAATATGTCTACAATTGATACCATATGGTATGTGAAGATATTTGCATGCGAGAAAAATACCATAGATATCCTTCGTGTGGAACATGATTTTTCATGCGATGTGTGTTAATTTTAGACGAACGGCGACTGATAGGAAGCAAAGTATTGCATAGTTCGTGCATCGTCTGTGCTGAGTGTCATAAATCGATTGGTGACGGAGCTTTTGAACAGGTGGATTTCAATGAAAGATCGGTTGAATTTTGAACATCTTAAATGTTTTTAGGACAATGATGAAATTCTCTGTATGAATTGCTATAACGATAGAAACAAAGCGTCAGTAGAGTCCACGTCTCCACCGATAATAACAAATGATGAGTTATCGAGAAAAGATGAAGAACTTATAAATACTAAACCATCGATAAATTCAGCTGTTCGCTACGGATCAATGAAGTAAATTATATTAGAATCTTCTATCAAATATGCATTTTTATTCATAGATCCTTCATTGAACGAGTTCATCTATATAATGAATACAATCAGAAGAAAACATCACATTTAACCATCAAAGAAGTAGAATCTTCATCATCAATAGTGTTGTTTATAGGAACAGATTTCTTCGATTGTAGAATGATGGTAAAATAAGTGTTTCCGGTATGCTTCGTATTTATTGGAATATTAGTACACCAGTTAAATTGAAATCAGGCCAATCAATACCACTTGGTAAGCCTTGATTTCTTTTGTTTGCTATCTCTTAAAAAGTCTGAATGCATATACAAATAGGTTTATATCCGAAATCATTGGGTATTTATGATATAAATGAGGACAATGGAATCGACGAACACTCATCTAAGGTTCGTTAAATATTCAACTGTTTTCTAGAAAAACAAAAATCGATCTCTGACATGATTGATTACTTACTCGAAGAAAAACACTTGAGTTAACAAATCTCTTTGTTTTAGAACCTTGATTCAATCTCTAAACGTCCCTGTTATGATGACACTGTTCTATCAAAACTATCTCTTAACGACGACACTGATTCAAGCCAAATAGCCAATCTTCGACGTGTCCAAACAATTCGTGTAGCTCAGAATCATCGTAAACCATTACGAATGGCCTTACCAACGTTTCTATCGTCGTCGAATGACGACGATGAAGTAAATAATTTCCTCGCAAGTTCATCTCTCCATGTTCACTTTTCTTTAGACTCGCTCATTTATTCCCGCAAAAGATAGTATGACAACAGTGTATGTTGATAGTGAAACAACAGTCCATGAAACGATAAATCTTCTATTTTCGAAACATTTCATCGAAGAATTGAATTCGAATACATTCACATTATACAAAGTCGAACGTCGGAATGGAAACTGTATCGAACTGAGTGACGACGATTATCCATTGATTTTACGTATTCTAGCTGGCCCATTTGAGAATGATATTTTATTTTATTTAATGGAACACGGAAAATCCAAAACTGTGCCATTAGAAGTCTCTAATTATCTTGTTCTTCCCGAATCGATGTTACGCGCATTTATTGATAAGTTTTCCTACGAAGAAGTTGAACATGTTCACATGATTAAACGGAAATATTTAGCATACAAACAATTACTTCTAAGGCAATTTGAATTGGCGATTAATCAATCTTAAAAATTTTTCCTTCGTGTCTTTTTTTCTCCTCGTAATAAACCTTCTAGATATTGATGCATGTTACGTATTTTAGATCTTGACTTTTTCTTCCATGGCGGATCAGAACGACGATATACTCGATGGAATACATCCTCGAATGAAGTAAGCTGATTATCTATAGAAAGAATTACAAGCTGAAGTATTGCCTGTTTCAGTATTTTACAAGCAGAAAAAATCGGTTTTACAGATATTGATGAATATTACATGGGAAATGTTCGACGTGGCACGGCAGTTATTATTAACAATCGAGATTTTCATCCTAGTACAGGTGAGAGTCGGCAAAGATACGTATGGAATAGAATGAAAATAGATTTTTGTTTCTGTTAGGTTTGAATACTCGTGATGGGACAAATATGGATGCTAGTCGATTGGATATGACACTTTCTGGACTTGGTTTCGATACGAAAGTCTATCATAATCGAACAGCGTTACAAATTTTAACCATTGTTGAACAAGGTAATGAGGAAACTTGTGTGCAATGCATGAGATGATTTCGTTATGGAATAATTTTCTCTCTTTAGAAGCGAAAGCGGATCATTCCCAATGTGATGGTTTCATGTTTGTTTTGTTATCGCACGGAGACGAACGAGATATTGTGTATGGTTTTGACCAACCACTGAATATCAGCGCATTGACTGAACCATTCAAACGATCAGCGAATTCGTTACTTGGCAAGCCGAAGATTTTCATTTTTCAAGTACGTTTCGATTGTCATCAATGATCTCTCTATAAAATTCCTTAACACAGGCATGTCGTGGTCAAAAAGTCATGACATCTCATCAAAAACTACCTCGAAAAGATAATCATGAAATGATTGGTATCACATCACATATTCCTTCGGAAGCAGATTTTCTCATGGTATATTCGACCATACCTGGTAAGAATCATTTGCATTACTTGATTGATCATAGGAGATTGCTTAGGTTATTATGCTTGGCGCAACTCCGCCAAAGGTTCATGGTTTATTCAAGCTTTATGCGATATGTTACATAAACATAGTCACGAATGGGATTTGTTAAGAATTTTAACAAAAGTCAATCGTCGTGTGGCAATGGATTATCATTCGAATTGTTCTGATCCTTATATGAACCAACGTCAACAAATTCCCGTATTCGTTTCGACCTTAACTAAAGATCTTAAACTATCTTCTAAATCCAAATAATTCTTTGTCAGATATATCTATTCAGATAAATTTATTCGTATTCTCTTTTTTTCGGTTGTGTGAATATATAAATAAAATTCATCTAAGTCATTTTCGATAAAGCAAATGTTGGGAAAATGAAGAACATTGAAACAAATATGGCAAGAATAATAAAGAGAAAAAATGAACAACATAAACATTCGCTGAGACGCGCTTGTTTATGCCATTGGTAACGTTGATAATCTTCAATTTTCAACGATTCTTCTCGTTCGACTAATTTTTTCAATAAGAAATCCGATCCGCCACTATGATCCGCATAATTTCGATGTGAACCACGGGTTAGCAGTTTCACCTGAGATAAGCGTGCTCCTTGGGTTTCATCATTTCCATTCTTACATAACCAATTCGATATGAAATGTATCCCACCGTAGTAAATCAAATGAATAATATGATCGAAGAATAAGGATAGAATTTCCAATAGGAATATGATTGATAAATATCGAATGATCAATGGTGTATAAGATAATTGTTCAGCCGATATTTTCCGATCGAGATGAATGATAAACATCAGTGTTGCGAATATGTGTAGAAGACCAACGATTAAACGTTGATACGATTCAATCGATGCGAAGTAGAAAACGAAGATGAATACAGAGAAGAATAATGTAGGCAGAATGGTTGTGTATATATGAGATTCCCGACGACGTTGCATAAGAACATAGATACTGAGTTTATCTAAATTTTGATTTGTCAGTTTTGGTTCGATACCAAGCGTTCGAATAAACCATCCACGTGAAAGTATTGGTCTACTTGTATGATTTGTATGTTGAAAAGTGAAGGAATTGTTTTCATTTGAGCTTTTCAAATCCGGTATATCGAATATTCTTGACCAGACACTCAAGGGACGCGGCTGTTCAGAAATGATATTTGAAATATTCATTTCTTGGTACTGCAACTTTAATCGTTGCTCTCGATTGTACATATCTAGTCGAAGGTATTGACGATCAAATGGATAATAGGTTAGATCAATAGGAGAGATAATTTTGAACAGACCACGACGGATCCAACGTATCTGCCCATCACGAGTCACTTTAGCTGATTCGTTTTCAATGTCAAATGAAAGAGAATCGTCATCGAGCAAGTGAATATCAGGCAGCCAAAGTGATTGTAGAAGTGTTTTAGTGAGAAGAATTTCATCAATATCACGATAGCGGATTCGTGTATCATTCACATCCCAATGAAGAAGGTCGAATTGATAATCAAGTTGAATTGTAGCACGGAAAACGTATTCATTAGTAGACGAATCAATTTTGAGGATTTCATGAACGGGAAATTGAATGTCAAATGGTAAGATCGTCTGACTTTCACGAAAATGTCGAGCTGCCAAACGGTATCTAAACAGAAATGATTATCACCATTACATATCGATCGTTCATGATGTCAAGAACTAGCGAATTCAAAATACCTTCCGACAATTTCTGTCAGTAACTCATGCTTAGGATCAATCGTTGTGCCAACTGGTTCAGAAGATGCTTGAACTGATAGAATTATAATTATCATACATATACTTAGTTGAATCATTGTTGAATGACTTTTTCGATTGAATCGTGATCGATACGGAGGCGCGACATATGCAAATGGTTAATATTGACTTAGGGATCGAAGAATGATGACAACAACAACACGAAAAACGCCATTGTCCACACCTACATAGACACATACACACGTACGAACGAAAAGAGTCAATTAAATGATGTTCGAAAATGTCCGAACGAGAAAGAAACATGAAATATTTGACATGTCTTCATTTGACTTTCATCGATTGAATCGATGGAGACAGAAACATGAATAAAACTCTTTTGATGTGTATGTCAATATATGTATATAGTTATGTATTTGTAGAAATAGAAAAAAATGTCACACGAAAGACTCAACGGGTTTGAACACAGCAAAAAGAAACCAAACCGGCTGTTTTGAGAAAGAACATACGTGAAAAAATCCTCATTCGGCTTTTTGAAAATCCTGTCGATGCTTTTCAACGTCAAATATCCACTTTCGTATCAATTTTTCCTTTTCCGGTGACATTAAATCATTCTCGTCGATATACTTTTTCACATTGGTATATGCGTAAGATATGTTCGGATCACGAGATTCATACGATTGAGCAGATGCATGTCTTTCACCTGGAGAATATGTTGTTACCATTGATGTTGTTGATGCGACCGGGGCTTGCGTTGCTGTCGTAACAGATTGATCACCTGATGCGCGACGGTATTTTAAAGCAGGTACGATTTGTTCTTTGGATGTTGCACGATGTATACCATACTGAGCATAATCATTCGGGTCCTGGACTATCTCATGGCCGTGAACGTCTTGGGCGGAAGCGTAATGAACTTGTTGACTTAAATTATTTGCTGGTACATGAAACGATCGAGATTTATTAGGCGAAAGAGGTTTTTTATTCGCTGTTAAATCAAATGTTGATTCGTATAAGCGCTGTGTACTGGATATTGGATTCACCGGTGGAGTATTTCCGCCTAATGGTATACCTGCATGGATATCTTTTTCATTGATTTCATAGAATGATGTTTTCGAATTGACATAACTTCGCTGTTTAGATGATATATGACGTGTTCGTAAGGCATTGTTGGGCAACTGTGTACGATCAACATCTCGACGCATTGACGGACTATAATCGACTGCTCCAGATGTTTTATCTAAGAAACTATTTGTATGTCGACGTTTCGTTGCATGATAAGGCTTGGTTGCTGATGATAAAATTAGATCTGCATGATTAGTAGTGTCAGTTCGCGTGTGCTGTAATTGAGGTGAAATGGGAACATGAGGTATCGACTTTCCAGGTGCATTAGCAACATTTTCTTGTACTAATCCGGTACTTAACCGTTGAGATAATGCAGTTAAACGGTTTTTTATTGGACTATTCGATCGTAAATGTGGAGTGGATGTATTTGTGTGCTCATTCCATATGTTATCGCTTGAACGATAAACAGCTAAATAAAATTAACTATTACAAAATGAAAGATCTCTATAGATGTAACGCCTTTCTCTAGGTTCTTTCGTTTTTCCTTCGAAAAATATTTTCTTTGTCTAAGATACATTAAGAATACATTTTGTCGTTTTCATTCATGTCACAAAATAAACATCTAGAGCATAGATGAGAATGTTTTAAAAACAAAGTAATCTTATCGCTACGAGGTATGTTACAAATATTTATAGTTTCATACTTCTATGTGGTTCATATTGGCCAGGCGAACCCATTTGTACAATCGACGGTGTATGAATAATTGATGAAGCAGAAGCAAACGAAGATGAAATAGCAGGAACAACAGGCGGTGTTATTGAAGTTGACATATATTTATTCCCTGTTGATGGTACTAAACGATTACCTCGCATTGGACTTCGTCGTTGTGGTTCGATTGATTGATGTCGACGAAGATTCGATGGTTTTCCAGGCATTGTACCCTCTATTGTTTCGTTCGGACCATCCGCACGTAAATCATCCAGCGAGGATCTTCCATGTGTATTAATTGGCGGTAATGTACTGTTCATAGAAGTTAATTTCCTTGAAGAAAAAAAACCAAATAACTAAGATTCACAAATATTTGTCAGCAATATGCCAATCTATCCCTTACGGTCATTTTCTTTCTATATTTCAACGAAGAAACCTTATAATCACATGAATTTAATCAATATTTCATTCTAACAAATCCTTTTCGAAATCTAATTCAGTATAGCATTGTACTCACAGCATGGCGATGTTCGTTGTACTGATAGTAATAATAATATGCAGGAAATCACTAGTTAATATGTGCCGAGGAAAATATAAACATGCAATAGCTCTCCTTGTCGTAAATGTATTAATACGAGAAAGAAATTGAAAATGCGAAAGAAACAGGGAGAGAAGAACAACAGATCAGAATCGAACGAAAATTTTAAACAATACTTGCTGAAAAGTATTGTGTCATTTCTAGTGTCTTTTGCTCTTTTTTCATTATTGAATAATAGAGAAAAAAGAACTCAACGACGAGAAGAAAAGAATAACGACGCGACGTCGCATTCTTCTCGTCTCGTTTTCTTTTTATTTTTTTTTTCAAATAATCAAAACGACTCCCGTTCGCTCAAATGCGCGCTGACTATTAAATTGTTATTCATTCAGTACTTCTTCTCGTAAAGAAAAAACTTCTCTACTGTCTTATATTCAAACAGTATGTATCTTGTATACATCTTCGCAAGAGAACCACATGTTTTCTTCTGTAATTCAATTAAATTCAATCTTTACAGAGCATTTTTTGTAAAAAAAAATAAAGGCAAAATCTGGATAAAACGAAGAACAAAAATACTGCCACTTTTACGATCAGCAAACAATGTCACAGTCGCTTGTTATCTGAAAAGGTACATACCGAATGATAAGTCCAAAATTCATGATCTTATACTGATGAATCGGAAATGAAAAGGTGAAAACGTCGGATCGTATCGTATTGATCGTCGTCGTCTTCTTCTTTGAACATGAAGCAAAAAATAAATGATTACAGTCGTTCTTGTCGCGCACTTATTTAGATGATTCTTTTTGCTAGATGTAAACAATTGTCATCGTTACTTAAATGTTTGACTGATTTCAATAAATTATATTACATAGAAGCAAAAACAAATTCTACTGGAAATGAACAAACACTGAAGAAAACTCTTCTTTCGTTTGTGAAGAATCGATTTGGAAGATCTTGACCCCGATTTTCTCTTGCTCAAACGAAAAAAGAAAACATCGAAATTTGTTACTTGTCACCTAGCAAAAGTTAATTTCATTTTCCTGTGACACATTTCTATCAAATTAAAAAGATGCTTTTACTGCAGAGAACAGCTCGTCTCATGACGCTTTCTTTGCTCGGTGCTCGATAGCGATAACACATCACAGTGGGAAGGTGTGTTCTAACTCATGCAGAAATCCTATTTTTAGATCTATTTTCTTAATGAGGTACAACGGACGTTTATTAGGTATCGGATATTTGCCGTTGACTGAGGAAACATTATTTATGGTAGATAAAAGTTTCTCATTTGAGTGCATACTATGATTGGAAAACAAAATTCTAACCATTCAATCGGTCCTCATGAAATATTCATACGGTTTTCACATGGAGATTTTTTGTAAAATAAAAGCTAAACTCAGTATGTTATTTTATTCAAAAAAGAAAAGAAAATCCCGATTGGATTGTTCGAGGTTAAATATACATGTTGCATAAATCGAAACAGCAAATATTGGCAAAAAAATGTCTTTAGTTTTATTGAGATGAATAACAATTTAAATGTCTCTGTTAAAACAATCTGAGAGATGCTGGTGATAAGCTTGTTCGTCGTCACTCGGCCATTTTCGACTGCATTCAGGGCATTCGTATAAAGTTGGTTCAACTTTTGCCATGGAAGGAAATAGACATTTGTCAATGTGGTCATACATTTCTACATCAGTGATCGTTGCTTCGAAGACAACACTGCAAATAGGACATTTTTTGAGTTCTTTTGTTTCAACTGTTGGTGATGGAGGTTCGATTGTTTGTGCAGGTAGTTCGGGAATAGGTTCTTCAACATGAAGATTGGACACACCAGGTTGCTCATTTGTCTGAAGCGATGTTAGAGTCAATGTTGCCAGCGATTGGGTAGGTGAAACACCGGGTGAATGATTTTCCAACATTGTCTCTTGTAATGGTTCAGCAGGTGTGAGTTCTGGTTGTGTTTGATGGCCTGCAATGCACTTGATTTTCTTCAGGAGAGAACTAAATGAAATTTTTCCAGCAACTGGTGTCGTGGGATTGTCAGCACTGGAGTCTTCAGAATTGTTTTCAGTTGCAGTTGGCAGGTCAAGACTGTTAGACATTGTCGCTAAATGAAAACGAATATTTATAAAGAAACTAATTGAAATAGAAATGAATTACCCGATTGAGATATTAAACTAACAATTTCATTAATTTGATTCTTTTGTGTCTGAACAAGTTCTTGCAATTTTTTCGCGTCATCTTCGATCTCCGTCCATTGTTCATAATCATGTATTGAAGCTACAATAAAATAATACAAAATAAGAACAAATCGTTCCGTGTGCGTGATCCTTACGTCGTTGTTCCCGTATGCTAGTCATTGTTGACAAACTTAGGGAACTGTTTTGATGCATTAACAGTTCATCTTTCGATAAGATCAACGTTTTCTCTAGTCGACGAATTTCGGCTTGTAACTCTTGTATTTTGCCCTCGTTTTCAACATGTCGTTTATCGTGAAAATTCGCAATATCTCTCATAATTGCGTCTAATTCGATCATTTTGTGTTGATCATTTGGATACGCTGGCCGAATAAGATCCATCAGACGTGTGACCAACTGTTGACTACATTCCAATTGGCTTTTACTTTCTTGTCTAAGATCGCGAAGATAGTAATCTAAAACTTGTTCGATTTTCTTCGCATTTTCCTGGGGATTATGATCAACAAAGACGAAATCATTTCCACAACGATTACCAGGAGGAGTAGTCATCGAATGGAAACTTGCTGTTTGTCTATTTTCAGACGAATCATAAGCTTGTTTCAATCGTGTTATGATGGGTACATACGTATTATTCACATAAATATTCGGATCGTCATCTACAATCGATGGATGTATAATAGTGATATCCGAATCGTCCTAAATGATGCAATGACTAGCAATGTTCGTTTTCTTCAAGAAACTCTACCTGATGTGAACTAATCAATATGTCGTGCTGCGACATGTCGAAATAAGAAACAGATTTTGTGTTGGTTATGGTCTAAAAAGATGATATTCACATATAAAATAGTAAGCAAAAAACGACTGTTGCTTTGTTTTTTTATAACCGTTAACAAACAGTGATGTGGATGTATGACTCATTGTTTTTCTCTGACTGGAGGAAAGCTGTATTATTCATTTTCTCTTTCTCGAACGCGTAGGAAATAACCAGATTCTCTTCTTTTTCTATTCTTCCGTTCTCTCTTTGACTAAGAACGAAAATAAACACGTTATCTAATCATCTTCACAGATGAAATTCAATCTTATGAGATCTTTTTCGTTGAACGGATGAAAACTTTTCATCATATGACAATGAAGACACGTTTTCATCATGTAACGCAATAGTACGAATGAGAGTTATCTTTTTAACTGCATATATAACATATTTAATAGAAAAGAAAAAAAATGAGAGAATTTTGTTTCGTATCTTCTACAGTCTGTGTTTGTTTGTGAACCAGATACGAAGAGGAGGAGAAAAACGAAAAGATAAGTTTTATGTAACGATAAAATACAGAGAATACTGAAGAGGTCAAGAGAAGTTTTGTCTGTAACGAAGTAAAAGCGAGTACTATATTCGGCATTGATTAACTGCAAAATGGACGAGTTCGATCTGCTCAATCAACCCGTGCAGCAAGGAGAAGAAACTACAAATACTCAAAATGACGGCCTCTTTGGATCGGAAAATACGGATACGGATCAACAAGAGGCTTTATCTTGGCAGATTGAAACTGTAGGAGAAAAGTAACTTTCTGATTTGTAAAATAACATTTTTTCGAATAGAATGTAACTGACACGATATCGTCACAATCCAATGCATTTAGTGATGATACCTTGAATCAGTTGACGTCTACATCACAAACAGCATCGTTTAATGATGAAACATTTACCAATCAAGCGAATACTAATCAATTAGATTCGTTTTCGAACGTCGATCCTTCATCAAAAACATACGATTTTCTTTCCAATGATCGAACAGAACCGCAATCAGGTTGTTTTCAATTGAGAAACATAACTCCATTTGATTCGAGCATTTCGACTTTGAATAGGGACAAGTTCGTTGCAGGCTCAATCGAGTTACTCGGGAGTATCCTTTACGGAAACGCCATCTCCAATTGACGAATTCAATGCTCGTCGTCAACAACAGCTCGCTGAGAAAGACGCCGCAGAAAAACGAAAGATTGACGAATTGCGAAATCAAGCGAAAACAGATTTAGATCGTTGGTATCGAGAACGTCAAATGCATATGGAGCAAAAACTGCAATCGATGAAAGACGAAGAAGAAGCGTTCCGAACGAAGGCACTGCAGAAAAGCGACAATAGTTCCTGCGATTGGGCGAAGGTCGTTCGTTTACTTGAATTTTCTCAAGGTGCACAAGTGACGAAAAATAAACGAGATGTCAATCGAATGAAAAGTATTATTTTACAAGCAACACGTCACAAGGTTGCACGGGAATCAAATAGTAGTGCTTAGGACGAGAAAACGAAACAAGTAAACAGACTTGTTAACATTTTTATTCGGTTTTTATTATACAAAACGATTTGAATTTAAATTTGTGGTGTTTGTTTTTCTTTGTGTTAGCTACTGATTATGATTCCGTAATTTTTGCGGTGTTGCTTCGAATAAATGATTGAATATTGGTTAGTATTTCGACAAAAATTGAAAATGTTCGATTGCGGTATAATATTCCGATCGATTAGCAAGAATTTTGATCAGTTCAAGAAATGACGGTCGATCATGTGCTTCCATAGCCCAACATCGACGTATCACGTCGTATATAGATGTACTACAACCGGCTGGCCGTTGAAGGCGACCACCCGATGCTATATAGGAATATATCTAAAATGATTATTCATCTTAAAACTACTAAAATCAATGCTGCTCAGAAGGGACAAACTTCTTCGGTATGCATTGTTCCATAAGGATACTGTCCAAACGTATAAATTTCCCACATGGTGACACCAAATGACCAAACATCACTTTTACTAGTAAATTTCGATTGATTTAACGATTCAGGTGCATACCTCGAAAAGAAAGGAATTTATTGCAATTGAATAAAGTGCACAAATCTCACCAAGCAATGGGTACTGGTGTATCACTCTGTTGAAAGTAGTAATTTTCGGAGTCAACATTACGTGACAAACCAAAATCGGAAATTTTTATCTAAAACAAACATGCAGTGATTTTCTTATCGCAGAATGTCTCCGGATAGTCCTTACTCGTGAATGTGATTGCATTAAGATATTTCGAGCTGCCAAATCTCGATGAACAAAACGTTTCCTTTCCATGTAAGCCATACCGTAGGCAATTTGCACCACCCACATGCTAAATAACGATCGGGTAGAATTATTAGCATGACTTTTCAAATAATCCAACAATGATCCCAAAGAGAGTAGTTCTTGAACCTAATAAATACGACACGAATCAACCGGTTGATCAAGAACTAGAGGACAGCGAAAAGCTTAAATGTCACGATTAGTGCAAAGAATGTTAGTCGCCAGGATCCAATAACCAAAGCAATGGGTAGTTCTGTTTTGTAAATAATAGCCATTCTCTTCATAGAAAATATATAGAGCATTTTTTTAGCCATTCAATAGAAAAACATTGTCTTTGCATGTTAGCTATCAATACCATTAAAATACTATTGGATTTCTTTAAATGCGAGACACCGTACAGACGAACAATACACGGATGTGATAATTCTTTCATAGCGAACGTTTCTTTTTTTATATCTTCTATAGCATTTGTATCCATCGTAGCTTTCAAAGCTTTGATCGCTACAGGAATCTGAATAGACGGCGAACGTTAATCGATGTTTCCCCTGGTGACAAATCTCAACTTACCTCTCTTCCATGATCTTCACGATACATTCCTCCATAGACTTTACCGAAATTACCTTCACCTAATAGTTTCTTGAACTTTAGTTGATCTTCACGAATATTGACCACCCTTCTGTTAACACTCGGATTCTTTAGATCGCGTTCTAGAATCAAACAAAATCGTTTCGCTTATTTGCCTAACTGCCTCTTACCAATGGCTGGAACCATCTTAACTTTATCATGCATTTTCGACGTAGATATTCCATTGAATGGATTTTCTAAACAAAAGGCAAACTTCACAAACTAATGCTGCCTCGCAGCAATACACGTCAAACCAGAACTCGTTCGATGATCAGAACCTGTTGATTCTTGAGATTGTAAAGAGAAGTTTTTGATGATTTTACTTGCCGATGAGAACAGGCGTTGGGATGATTCACTTACAGGAGTAGTTTTAGCAGCTTCTAGAAACAAACGCGCCTATTCGAGTTAGAAGAAGCACGTGTTTTACCTGGACTCAACGGTTTAACAACATTTTTATATACTTTCATGAAGTAATCAATTGCATGTTCGAGACTGTCATGATAATGAAGACGATCTTCGAAATAATATGAATGTGAATCCTGATGAAATGAAAGTCATTCCTATGTTCAGAACAATGTCAATTGGAATACCTTTTTATGAAGTTTGACATGTACAAGCGTATTTTGCCAAATGATGGATATTGCATAATCATCCGGAACAGTTGAACTTTGTCGTACAAAAAAGTATCCATCATGCTTTTTGAACTGATTCAATAGTGATCGCATTTGCTAAAAATATGTTTCAAAATCATTTTCTGTTTTCGCAATGTGTAATGCAATTCGCATACATTATTCGATAGCGAGCCATGATAGTAACTCGAACGATGAGATGCAGCAGGTTTTGACCGAGCACCAGCTATAGAAATAAAAGTTCGTTTTCGATTGCATTAAGAACATTTTTTACCTAGTTTTTCTACGCAATCAGTGCCATGATGTTTAATTGCTAAATCATACGGTGTTTCCCCATTTTCTGTCAATGGTCGTAGTGGTGAATCATGTGCTATCAAAGTCTATAGAAGAGAGCTAAACGATTGTTAATTACTTTTTATTCAGTCAATTACTGTGAGAGTTTCAACGTTACTACATGCTGCAGCACAATGAAGAGGTGCATATGAATTGAATGGATTTCGTGCATCAACATCAGCATGGCCACGGGTGATTAGGAGTTCAACTGTCGTTGGGCAATTGCCCAATGCTGCTTGCTAAAGAGAAAACAAAAGGAAAAGAGTAGTTTCTAATCTGAATGAATGAGTGAGTGAGTGGATTTTACATGTAAAGATGTCCAACCAAGTTTATTGACGAATTTCCAATTAGCGCCTGCTTGCAACAGTTCTTTGACAGTATCATCTCTTCCACAGAAACATGCTTCATGTAACGGAGTATTTCCTATGAGAAAACTAATTTCGAAGAGTCAGATAATCGTCTCTGTCCGTTACCTTCCTCGTTTTTCGAATGAATATCTGGACAATTTGGGTCATTGAGAAGCGCGACAATGGCATCGCGTTGTCCTTCGATAGCAGCCTGATGAAGAGTAGTTGTTGTACCTCGTCGTTGAGCAAATGCAGGTAAAGTCTGGCCGCGAAGCGGTATCGACAATGGGCAACGTAGGTGTCGTGCACCATCCGTTTGGTAATATTGCAATAGGCTATCAAGAGCTAAAGATATGCATGATTTATACATACACTCAATTTGGTGTGTCAAGAAAGAAAATATCTTACAATAAAAAATTGAATCCGTCTTTTCGTCAAGAAACGTGCCATTACCAGCATGGTGTGATCGATAATGATAACATTGGCCATCTTTTATTAATGATAAGATAAACTTGTTTTCATCACGCTTTGACTGACGGAGCATGTATATGCCATTTTTCTGCTTGTCTAAGAGAAAATCGAAAACAAGTGAATAATAAACAAATATGATTATATAATCGTACTAGCTGCGTATGCATCTTGCAATAATTTTTCGCTTGCTTCTCGATCACAAGCTCTGAAGAAACAATTTATTGGACTACGATCCAAGGATTCTCGGCGTACCATTGTGTGGTCGGTTTTACTGTTCGATCGAACTGCCCCATCTGGCTCAATGACAGAATGAAAATATATTTCGTTAGATGTATCTACAATTTTTACCTTTGTTTGTATTCTCGGTATTGCTAATTTTTGTTGCCATAGAGTAAATTAAGTTAAAAAATATTATATCTAAAAGTCGAACGGAGGAAGTTTATCACGCAAGCATCGCCAACGTGGCGTGTTGAACTGTGTGAGCCGGTAAATCCGATCGGCTGACTGATTATACTATTGAAAATAATAAAATACGCTGAAGTCATGACAAAAAAGTAAAGTACGTGACATTTTTTTATCATCACGATAAGACGAAAATAATCGGAAATGAATGGATATGAAGAGAGAGAAAAAAAACAGAACGATTGGCCTTGCATTCAATTACATAAATATATACCTGTCAAAGGTAGATGTCCTCCTTTTATTGTCAAATAAAACGAAAAAAAACATCTATATGATCATTTTTTACAGCTTAGGCATTCGTCTAAAGTACATCGCTTGTTCTTTTTACTTTTGTTCGCAGAACAAACATCCAGATAGCCGATTCGAGGAAATCAAATCCTCGTACAGATTTATATGTTAGATGATGATCGAAATTGTATCTCGTGTCCTTTATAAATAACAAACGACTCGAGATTTTGAAGGAATCGACAAGTATTCTTTCTTTCTCGTTAAATCTATTCACGCAAGAAGGAACGACAACGTCCAGAAGTAATTGTTTCTTTTCATTAAACATAATGAACTTGCTAGATTTGTATGCAATCAACGTTTCTTTCGGCTTCCTTTTTGTCTCCTATGAGCGCCGTAGCACTACTGCGATGCGTATCGGTTTTTGATGACAGAAAAGAATTTCTTCCATTTGTGAAATGCGCGTAATCGACATGAATCGATGAACTCTGCCATGATTCTTTTCAAAACGCAAATCGATTAATGTCTGAACATATTCATAATCGTACACCTATCGAGAGCTATCTTGAATGATTAAGAACTAGTTGTTGATTGTGATTCGGCTAATTGCAAACGCTTCAACCCATTTGAGTGCAATCGAAAATAAAAATATTTTACGTGAAATTATGCTTCGTTCGATACGATTTTTTTATGTAATAAGGTAAACATAATTTATCCTCAAAGTATTCTTTTCTTTATTTAAATTCAAACTCTACAAATACGCCTATAGATAAGACTAAAAATGAACTGCGGCTGATATGTTCGTTTTAGATGGAAATTGGCCTCGAAGTTGTTTATACTTAGTTTCATGCCAGAATTAAAGCCTACGAATCAGGTCAAGTACATGCTTCAGTATAACTTCTATTCCAGATAGGAGCTGAATGTGTAAAGCAAGATATATTCTCAAGTGAGAAACTACTTCGCTCGACGACGACACCTATTCTGTAGAGACATAGATGTCTGCGATGATTAGTAATCATTTAGATAAGGCTATTGAGTACGAAAGTGCCAATATGTTTCATGGGTTAGTTCGTTTTTTCAGCACCCGTACGTGATTGTGATTTGTAGGAAAAGAAAAAGTAGGGCGAGGGGGAGAAGCAGAGAGAGAGAGAGAAAAGAGAAAAAGAAGTGAAGAGATCTTCGTATTGCTTTTCGTGCTGAACAAAATTGTTTAGAAGTATTGAGGGTTATTGTACCGAAGGAAAGGAAAGGAAGAAGAAGAAGACGAAACTTCATCATATTTTTCTCTTTCCATCTCTATTTTCTTTTTCTTTTTTCCTTCACTGTTATTGCTTCTACATTCTTTTCCATCTATCGGACATCTAGTCGTTTGCCGTACGAAGCATTCGCAGAATGGAGTTTAATCATATCGAACGAACAATAAAACTCTATTTTTGTTGATCTTTTTCTTTTTTTAAAGAAGCAAAAGCAAAAACAATTGAGTTTGGAGAAGCAAATCAACTTCAATTCTTTGTTTCACTCTATTAAATGTCGAATTCATTATTGTTTGCAGAACAAGACAACTTATCTTCGGATCCGAGTCGGTTTTCAATAACAGAACAGAACGGCGAGGAAGAAAAACAAAAACAACAGCAGCAGCTCGACCCAGCTAATACGTGCCCTACATTAACTCTAACAGAAAACTGCGTATGTCGTTATCATAACATCTTTTTCACCAAGCAGGCCGGCAGATGTTTTCTTCCTACTTTAGTCGTTTCTAACGATTCTCAAGCGTCTTGGTATTTATTGGCGTCGAATTTTATTAGATAAGATTCGACTTGTATTTACACTCGTATTCATGTCCATGCTCAATATTACCGCTCGAATCGCGTGTTTTACACGACGACAAACTCATACATCACCACCTTCATCATCAGCTTCCCTCAATTCATTGTCGATTTCCTCGTCAACTGGAGCGTTCGGAGTAAGTGAAAAGAGAGCAGATTTTATCCGATTGGAACTCACTTGACTACTAATTCAAATAATCCCCCATGAAAAAAAACCTCGATGTCATTCAGATCGTTCTAAATCCTATAAAAATAATCAATATGTGAGAAAAACAACGGTTCCTTGATGTTATAAGACTTGAGTAATATCAAACAATGACCTTTTCCCCTGCAGATGTGAGACAAAGCGGGGATGAATTTGCACTTAGATACGTTTTCATCTTTTCTATCGTTGCTTTTCATCGTATCTGATTGTATACATATATTAATGCACTTATTTTCACCTCTATACGCCTTTATGGCCGATTACCATTATCACCTTTCTCGTATGGTCATTAGCGATTAGGCATCTTGATCATCGATTTAATCGTTTGTTTTTTTCCCTCTCTCTGCTTCTTTGACTTTGATAATTAACGACGAATATTTATGTGCCTCCACGAAGTAAAAGCGATAGCCAACAGGCATTGGATCTTGTTGGCTTCGAATTCGAATGCACAAATAATTCGATTAGATGTAAAAAAAAAGTGGTAACATGAGTCAATTTCGTATTGACTGATGTATGTATGCACTCGGCTAGAAAAAAAGACTGGAACAAACTTTTAATAGGTTTAAGATCGATCGAAAGACTGTTTTCGGCATAATGCATGTTGAATCATTAGTCGGTGGAGAGAGCTGAAGTGTACTTATTCAGTTTCATCAAATAAGACGAGAAAAAAAATGCCCTTTGGATTTTTGGAGCGAAAGCAGACCAATTAAAAGTGCATGTTTGATTTGATTCTTTCAGAAAGAGAAAAAAAATCAAGTTTTACATTCGGAGAGAAGTTCGAACAACCAAAAACATCTGTTCGAAAGTTTATTATTGTTTTGTTTAATCCATAAAAGCAATTTCACTTAAAATAACCACTTGTTGATACTTATTTGCTTGTTGTGTCCTTTTCAAATACAGTCATGTCAAAATCAACTAACAGCTGTATTTAATAATAATAATAAGTACACTCTATTAATTTTGTCCTGGAATTCTCTTCTTATCAACGTATAGTTCGTTGTGACCTAAAAACTCAATTATCTTCCATCTCACAGGATAAGAGGATCTGCATTGTAAGGGCGGTAGATTTTCTAGACGTAACCAGCCCATACTTTCGGTGCGTGACCCGTAATTATATTACCTTGAGTTTCGAATACCAGATGCATCTCTTTATCGTATTCTATTCGCCATAGATTGTTTTTTTTCGCTCGTTGACTACTCGTAAAAATCGCGCGATGTTATAAGTCGTCATGCTTCTCTCCATACATCTAATGCATGATCTATCGTCTCAATATTACTTGCCGAACTACATCATCATATGTTTCTCTTGCTTTTTCTTCCTTTATTCTATAAATATCGAATAGACAGCTGTTTTAGGCTTGCGCGTAGATATGTAATGGAGTCTTTTTTTTATATACCCTACCACTGATATATGATTATCATCTGGAACAAAGATTTTTTCTTCTTCTATGCGTTGTCGTTCTTCTTCTTATTTTTTGGCTTTTTTCTGTTGTTGAAACCGAGCAAAGTCTACTGGTAATAAACAATAATATTTTTTCTTCTTCTTCTTCTTCTCTTTTTTCCTTTGCCCGTGTTGCTCTTATCCTCTCACCTTACTAGATGTGTGCTAGCTGACAGATAAAGAAATAGAAACAATTTTTACTGCTCCTTCCTCCATGATGACTAACAGTGCCTTTAGATAGTAAATAAACAAACTAGAAGATTATGGCTTAACGTTTTCTCTCTCTCTCTCTGTCTCCCTCTCTTCATGTCGCGACTAACCTCTCTCCTTCTTTCTCTACACATATCTATATAAATGTATATTGTCGATCATAGTAGTTTCGCTTTCGTGTACAGACAGACACACCTGCCTTAGACATATTTTGAAAGTGTGTATAGATATTTAGAATTCATACATATGATCATCAAAGGGCAATTTATTTAGTTGATTTTAGCCAGTATTTTGCCGGGTGAATAGACGAAGGAGAGAGGGGGAGGAGAGTGTGTTTTACTTATACAGCATGCGTGACACAGTTATTTGTAGATATTGCAGAACAGAAAGGAAGAAACAGGTCTCAGCGCCGACATTGTCTAATACCATTTTGTACGAAGTTTGTTCTTCAGTTTGCTTGTCGCCTTGAAGAGATAATAGCACTGACTGCTTATTCTGTAACATTTCGCTGCCGATAAAATAAAGATCATGCGCGTAGCACGCGCTCGCAGCATGATATGGCCTGAACAAGTTATTGAGAAGAAGCAATTGATTTTTAGATACTCTCATGAGATGAACTATTGACCGTTAGAAAGTCAGATTCATATACGCATTCTTTTATAGCCAACCATCTTCTTTGAAATGAAAAAAAAAGGCAGAAGCTTTGATAAAGATCTTCTCATCATCGACGCATGCATTGATCACGCGTTGCCCAGCTCATACACATTTATTTCTTTCTTTTTTGCTTCCTCGATATTTCTATAACTGCATTGCATATGCGTACGTAGACATATTTAGATACTTACCCGATACAATCATATAAATTTCTTTTTATATACCTAGTAGCCGTAATAAATTTGTAAGATTAACATACAAGTGCATTCGAACTAATTTCCTTACGATGTTTTCTTTCTTTTTCCTTCCAGGAAGATTTTACAGATTTATCGAAATCTCTCTTATTATCCGATCGAAAACATAAACAATCAATTCATTTGCCATCCTTACCAAATCCAAAGATGGCACATATACTTGTTCAACAACAAACTCATCGTTCACCAAATATAGCTATTCATTCGTCAATTGCATCACAAAAAGAACCATCAATACCAATGAGACATTCGGTAGATGATAGATTGTTTTTAGAAGAGTCAACTGAATTAATTAATTTTATTACTCGATTTGCTTCCGAACCACAAATGTCCAAATTTAATACACAATCAGTCAATTCAAATGGATACACCAGTAAATCTCCTGTAGTTTTTGCTTTAACATCGTCTTCTTCGAATACATGCGTTCAAGTCATTGAATCTGAAAATGATGATTCTGATTTAAATGATTTTCTTTGCTCAAGCTGTGATAAGATTCAACCGGTGTCTATTTCTTCAACAGGAGATTTAATTAGTGATGAAACAGACAATATAACAACGGCAATGACGGTTATAGAACCGTTATCAGAGCATATTACAACAGTTATTGATGAAATTAAAAGTTCACCAGCAGAAGATGGCCTAAGCGAAACAAGTCCATCTATTAATAGTCCTGATGCTCCTAGTGAACGACACTTTCATAGACGAAGAAGACGTTCATCGTTGACGAGAAATTCTCTAACACTTGATGAAAAATCAGCGACAGTTGATGCATTAGCAAAACTTGATTTAAATCTACAACTACCGAAAGAAGTCGAAGCAAAAGTAGAACTCAAGCCACCTACTGAGAAAGAGAACACAAATGATATTCAAACGATAAGTCCTGAAGACGAAGTACCACAAGATGCTGTTGTTGAAAACGAACCAACAGCTTCAGTTAGCCGTTATCGAGGAAGAAGTACGTATCGAATTTCATGGAAATGATGCGTTAAATAAGTATTCATTTCATATCATCTAGGACTAAGACATCGATTCTATCGTCAATCAGCGTCGGCTACATCATCATCTAAGATTCCCTGCGATGGTTCACCGACACTTTTGTTGCCCAATGAGGCACTCAACGTCGAAACATCTAGAATCTACTCGCCACCACCATTGTCGCCTGTCACTCTATCATCACTCCCATCGCCAATATCTCCAACTCTAACTACCCTCTCCCAACCAATCACACCAAGCAAATCAACCGGTGCGTTAAAACGCGTCAATTCAGTAGGAGCATCAAAAAAGAATGTTCGTTTTGCTGATTCCGTTGGCCGTCAGTTAACCGAAGTGCAATACATTCATTCATTGAATTATGATGAATCCAGCGACTTCTCACTGCTATTAGGTTCATCATTGTTATCTTCATCGCCGCCTTCCTTCTCAAAAAATAACATTTATCTATCAAAAAGTTCTCCTATTGAACATAAACCATGGTCATTCGATGTGGACCTAACATTATCCAAACAGAAGCACGAAAGTTCATTGCCGAAACGGTTCTTTTGTTTATACCGTCAACCAAACTCAGAACATCCCGATATTTATTTACATGAAGTATGGAAATCTCAAATCAAGTTAGAATACGCCGACATACATTTGAAATACTCTTCTAATAGTGAACAAAAACTTACGGGAACGTTATGGGTGACCAATGCTGGTTATTCAAAATATGTTTCAATAAAATACACATTCAATCGTTGGTTAAACACATATGAACGTGAAGCTCAACATCGATGTCATTCAAATGATTATCGTAACATAGATCAATTTGAATTTAGTATAGATATTCCTGAAGATGTTGATCGAGTTGATTTTGTTTTACGTTATTGTATCAATGGTCAAGAACATTGGGACAATAACAACGGACAAAACTACACATTACAAACAGAATCTGCGTATACACCTTCAACAACAATATCATTACCACATGATTGTGATTTTAATGAAATGAGATTTTATTAAAGTAACATGAGGGAGAAAAGGAGGAGAACATTTTTTTTCAGAAAAAGAAGACGAATGAACAAAAGTACTTTTTTTAATGTATAGTGTATGCAAAAACAGACAGAGTGTATTTGTATGTGTATGTATGTGTACGGCGATAGATTTCGTCTTTCATTTTTCTTTCTTCTTCGTATATAAATATATCTTCCTCTTCTTCTCTTCTTTTTTTTAGCCTCTGCTTGACTCGAAAGTCTTACGAATAGAACATGAGAGATACACAATGTCAACTTGATTTTCTTTTTTCTCTCTAGCTAGTAGATATTTTTAACTGAAATAAAAACATGATGAAATGATATATGTATATATAAACGAGCGATTCCGTTCTATTCAATGCCTGGATATATTTTAGTGCTTCTCGCATGAGATTGTCATATCTAGCTCGTCAAGTGCCTTGAGTGCGATAATTTCGTCGTCGTTGTTGTTGTTGTTGTTGTTTTGCTATGCATGCGCAAATGCTCGAATAGGACGATGAGTTTGATAACTAAATCAATGAAAAATGATCTGTCAGGTATAGTAATGAAGCATGAAAACGAAATATGTAGAAATTGGATTAGTATGAGCGAAGTGATGCTTGATAACGATAAAAAAAGAAACTATTTTTTACCAACAGGATCTATACGAAAACAAGGTCGGATTTCATTTATTTTTTCAAATGATTAGGTATCGGAAAATGTCAATCATACCTGGTAAATAATAAGAATGATTAATATTAGATTATCAGTGTATCAGGATCGAGCAATTATATATGAAAATCTAGGACTGATTCGTAATTAACTATTGTGTGTATGATTGAATATATGTTGAGAATTGCATTGCTAAGTACTCACCAAATAAACCTCTGATTGATCGGTAGAAGGCGACTGAATTTGAGTTTTATTTGCCAATTAAATTTGAATTGTATTTGACCTTAGATTTGCTTATTCAAGGTAATCATTATATTTTTACAATCAAAGGGCAATGAGGTCACATTCTAATAATCGCCATGAACTACTATTAAAGAAAGCCAATTTACACACAAGCTCTCATGAGATCAAACACTCAATACACGGGAACACAAATATCCTCAGTAATACAATGCAGAATAACTAATTTCCAAATTTCTGATCGAATAACATTTCTGTTCGAAACATTCTGGTAATATGTTAATGTTGATAGTCCGACAAAAACAACAAGCATGACTCTGGAAATATAGGTCACGAAGGACTGTATTATAATTGAAAAACATCTAGAAAATCATATAGTTGAATGTGCCCAAGTGTGCATTTATGGAAGCGAGATATCTGGAGGGTTTTTATAGTGCAAACAACGAGGAAGTATATTTTATCCTAAGATGTAAAATCTAAAGAGTTTTTTTTATTACGAAAGAAAAAAACCAAGGACAAAAATGAAGACTACATCGGTTATTCATAGGGAGAATAGATTGGGGATAATGTTCGATAAATAACCAATTTTGCCCTTTTCGCTTTTGGTTGCTTGAAGACTTGATTATGAACCAGAATTTTCTTCTTCGTCTTCATCAGTTTTCAATTTGAATTGTGGTTGAACATGTTTCCATAATTTGCCTTGATTACGACGTTCATAAATGTACTCAGCTGATTTGTTAATGATGCGTTCATAAGCGAATACACCAACAACAGCGGCTAAAGCAATGTTCGCTGAGCGACGAAAGAACAGGTTGTAAACGGTTTTCGTAAGCGACATTAGCAATTATCTAGAACAGATAAATATGTACATGAAATCGATTGCTCCACGTCTAGGTACTACAAGCTGTGAAATCGCCGTAGTATCGATACGAGTTCTACGTCATGTTTTGCCCAGTCTGTGGCTTTTCTCTGAGTTTGATATTAAGGTATAGACAAAGTCGAAGAGTGTTGAATTGATCTATCTTTTTTTAAATTAAAAAAAAAGCACAGAGGAATGTACAAAAAACCAAGTCGAGAGGGACAATTGGTAAATGTATTTCGAACAAAAGAACCTATCAAAATGAATTTTGAACACGTTGTTCGGTCGGTAGACGTTTGATAGGTGTCACTCGTTCGTGACGTATTTTGTATTGTTCTTGACTACTTTGTCGACGGTACCAATATGAGCACTGTAAATGGCAGCCGTATTTGGTAAGACGAACTGTTCTATCTGCTTTCTGAGCATTTTCAATGGACGAGCAATGAAAAAAAGCACAAGGATTTCACGATTAACGAACGAAAAATATGTTGAAAAAGAGAGAGAGAGAGAAAAGCAGCGAAGGAGGAATAGTATAAAAATGTAAGTGGATTAAACTGTTCTGATTCTGTTTACACAAAACTGTTCAAAACTGAAAAGAAAAATATACAAGAAGATAATATTTTCTAATCTAATTCTCGCTGATTATATGCATATATATATTGGTATGTATAGATATTTATATTTAACCATTTGTTCGTGGCCAGGCGTCGAAACCGAAGAGTAAACCAATGATCAAAGCAATCCCGCAAAGAATAGATATGATACAAAGAACCAGAGCGCGTTTGTTAAGTGTGTGTGATTCTATAACAAAACCATCACGAAATTTATTTTGCGCTTTACGAGCGAATGCAAATGCGAATAGACCTAAAGGAAACATTTAAGGATGTCTGACGTCAAAGAAATCGGTTAAAATTACCTAATGGAAAAAATAGAATGATACATAATATTGCCAACCATCTCCAATCGGATGGGCGACGTGGCGCTTGTGGATCGAATTTCTGACGGCGGTTCACTAATGTTGCTGAACTTTTCGAGCTTACCGCACCATTTGCATGTGGCTGTGAACCCTGCGTTCGAATAGTCGATTGGCTTGAATATAGTGGATTCGTCGGTCGAACCTGAGGATATTCTTCGATAAGAAAAAGAAAACATACATGTTTTGTTTCTTCCAAGGTTATCGCTTTCATTTACCGGAGTATCTCGATACACGACTCGGAATGGAACCTTGAGAACGTTGATCATTGTCTGTTGGATATCGATTTCCGTAGTACGTTGGGTTGCTGTTTAATCCAGCACCGCCAGCTCCGCGAAGGTCAATCCGAATGTCGTTGAACACAGGCTGATCATTATCATCCGTTCCATGACGCATCTAAAATTCGACAGAGAATTTCAATCGACTTTGTAACAAACAAGAATTTGTTGCGATTAGGTTAGATCATAGCGCGCTGTCCTACTAGGCCTAGGTTCTCATCGTTTAACAACCACCGGTTTCCTCCATTCTGCATTGATGACGAGTTAGATGAAGTTTCGTCGTCGTTGATGTTCTTTCTCTATCAATGACAGAACAAGAGAGAAATAGAGAACATAATACAAAAAAAGTGAAGAAAAAAGTTCACTTGAGCCCACGTGAATAAATACGGAAAAAAACTGTGCACATCTACGTGTTTTGTCTCTTTTCTCTCTATCCTAATAAAAAAAAGTTATTTCTCAAAAAAAGTGCTCGTCAATGTCGCCCTTCATCGTCAACTCTCTTCTTTCCTATCACGCGTGTATATACGTAACATACATATTAAGTACGAGATGAATTTTTTTCTTCTTTTCTCGTACCATTTCTACACTCCTATATTATAAAGAAAAAAAGGGGGAGTAGTTAAAGCAGAAGCAGCAGCAACAGCAGGACTCGATGAAGAACTAGTGAAAGAAAAACGTACGAAGGAGAACAAGAAAAAGAAGAAGAAAAAAGAACGATGAAATTGAAATTGTAATAGGTGGTAGTAGTCATCAGCAGTGTTCTATTAGAACACGAGTTCCTTTTGAGGGAGAAAAAGTGAAGGTCAAGTCATGTAGCAAAAAAAGAGAAAGAAAATGAACGGACACATATGTTTGTATTACATAATGAACACACACGGACACCAATACTGTTCCGTATATAAAAAGGTTTCACTTGGACGTTGTTACGAGTATCAAGTAGAAATAAAGGAATGGATATTAAGCAAAACCTTCGATCTAACACATCCTTGCAAAACACTCATTTATTTCGAAACTAGATAAACAGCTCAACTCAGATCGACATTTTATATCACGTACGTATGTATCAACATCAATTCGACCGAACTCGAAGACATCTAATGAATCACTATGATCGCAAAGGCATCTTTTATGATATCGATAACATTGAGAAGTGAATCATTTGTGCAAAGAATTCTACGTGGACATATTCGAAAATTTGATTTAGCACTAGGTGAAATAGTTGTAAGTATTCAATACGTTGACTTGTCAGTAATTTGTCAGGCTCTCATTTTGTTTCAACGGTACAGTTAACATACAAATCCTTCGGGCAAAGGTAACAAGAAAAATGATGCAAGTGCACTGATTACATGAAAAGTTCTGTTCCAATCGAAGTGACTTGCATAATATTCATTGTCTTTGAGTATAATGCACAAATTAAAAGGAAATTTTCTCTATCGAAGTTATGCACAGTTTTTCTGGTAAATAAAAAATAAGTACAAGCAATTCGGATGGATCTTATTAGAATAAGTTTCTACTTATCGGAAGAAGTACTGTAGACTATAATGAGAAAGAGAGTGATGCTAATACAAGTGAACCTGTGTTACTGGTTGAATGTGATATCCATTGTCTCTTTATGGACATGTACTTTTGACGCTTCTTAGCAGAGTTTTTACTACGAGTTCGAACTTAGGAATACAATATTGCTTAGTGCTTTGCTTTGGACAATAAAGTACTAAAGACAAAAATATGTCAGAAAGAAGCGACAAAAATTACTGTCGTTCATTTAGTCTTAAGAATAGACTGTTTTCGCAGGGAACAAAAACAAAATGACAAATGAAACCGATAAATGAAGATAAAGCAGATACATAGATATGACCAAAATAAGGCCAGCACGACAGATTTAGTTGCATTCTAAATTCCTTCTTTTATCACTTCCTCAGGTGAGACTTATCCAGGTCAATCCATAAAAGATTATATCAGAATCTAGGCTGACGTACCCATGTGTGCGTGAGAGTACTTGCACGCATGTTGTTGTACAATGTACACACACACGCAGACCATATGTACCGATGTTAGGCCCATGGAAACCCGATGTGCTAGCTCCACATCGATATTTATACGTACGTGATGGCAGAGTAAATGAGCGAGGTACTGCCGTATTGTTTTACTTTTTCAGGTAAAAGACTAAGCGAAGTGTATCGCAAATACTTTACTTTTGTTTTGATCTCTAATGTTGAAAGCATTGTAGCTTATAATCTCATGGTTTTGAACAAGGCCTTTTTCTATATGTTAACTAGTAGAATGGGTAATAGATATCTATCTTAACACTGAATAACGCTGTTTTCACGTCGATTATGTCCTGTGGAACTCTTCCTATACTAAAATAAAACTTTGAACCGAGAAAGACTTACAGCAAAATACATGATGATCTTCTGTCGTCAGAACTGGTCGACGAATTGACGCTAATTTTGAATACAACATGATGAAGGATAAAATCTGAAACGAATAAACATTTATAAAACCAAGTTTGTTTAGAATTCTTATATGGATTTCTGTATTTTCATTTTGCTTTTCCATGCAAAATACACAAGCAAAACAACCGTGAATGCAGCCAATCAAATAACATTCGTTCACAGATGTCGTTGTAGTGACAAGATTATTTTCCAAAATAAATTTGTTTCCGATTTCTTTGATGGCTATTCTAGAATAAATTCAAAATCAAATTTTAGAAAATTAATAGAACATACGCCTAGACCGATGACTCATCCATATCTGTTGTTTCATGTTTTTACTCGAATAATCATACGGGTTTGCGTTTGTTGTCATTCCAGATTTCAAAGTACGTAAAAAAGTATTTCACGAGAGAACGTACTTAGATGGCTGCGCCTAAACCTTGGGAGTCTTCAGTCCCTATGTCGAGCCAACCGATACCAACAGCATTCGATACAATGAACATCGGTCCCCTGCCAACCGTTGAACAACAGTATGCATTAATCTCTATAATAAATTTGCTTTTGGTCGTTAAAAACCTCATCTTTTTCTCTCCTAAAACTGTAGACGCATGCAAACTTCAGCACCACTTCCTCCTCCTCGAAGTACCCAACAACCACATCAACAACTCGGTTTCTACCCTTCATCAAATTATATGAGTCCATATGGATTAAATCCATATCAAGCAGGAGGTTTTTATAATAATTATCGCTTATCTCCTTATGGCACTCCATCGAATCTTCCAGTGGGTAATTTCGCTCAGTTAGCTATGGATGAATCCCGTTCAGCATTTTCATCCATTGAGTCGGTTATTCACACATTTCGTTCCATATCGTTCATGCTCGAATCGACATTTACCAGTGTTTATTCATCGTTTCGTGCTGTTACCGATGTATTCGATCATTTTACGCGAGTACGCGCCGAAGTTTCGACAATTTATCCATTTGTTTTAATATGGAGATTTCTGAAATATCTTTATCATCGTCTTTTACGTCTACTTCATTTACGACAAGCGACACACGGCAGCGCAGAGGAAACATGGACAGCCATCTACAATAGTTTACAACAGAATGCTGCTAATCCAAATGGAGCAGACGCATCACGTTCATCTTCGTCCAGTTTACTCGTTGCCCTATTCTTTATTGTCTCCTTCGGTACACCAATGTTAATGCTAAAACTAATTAATTCGATTATTAAGAAGAGACAAGGTACGAACAGTTATAAGTCGACTTTTCTCTATGTTCTACTTTCAAAAATATTTCAGTTAACACACATTGGTTAGAGCAAGAGTCGAAACAAGCCAAGGTGATAGCACTGTATGACTACGTTGCTAGAAATGCAGATGAATTATCATTTACACGAGGAACAACTATTTATTTAGCACCTCTCGGTAAGTTTCTTCGAAACTTGCCGTTAGTTGTAAAACTTCTAGTCTTTCACAATTTTTAGCCATGCAATCCACTGCATCACAATGGTTTCTAGGTTCAATAGATCGTATCCATACAGGTTTAATACCTGCTAATTATGTTCAACCCATTCGACAACAAAATACATCCAGTATAACTCTTCATCCACAAACACCGTACAATGCCATGGTAAATATTCATAACTTTGATTTCTTTTTTCGAACACTTATTCTATCTTCCCTTGCAGTCTACTGTACCACCACTTCCACCTTCTTCGAACGTTATAAATACGCCAGAGACAATATTTACTCGCGGAGAACAACCTACTCTATCTTGATTTATTATGATTGTTACGTGATTGTCGTGTGATTTGATTTCTATGAAACAAATTCTTGTTTTCATTTTTTTTGATTGGTTTCAAACATCCTGCTTTCTAGATGAGTTTAAAAATAAATAAAACGGTATTGATCACTGGTGCATCAGGTGTCTTAGGTCGGCAAGTAACAAATCGTTTTCTTGACGCCGGTTGGAATGTTACAGGTGATTCAAATCGAATTCACACAAATATTCTTTTCTTGAACTTGACAATGCATTCGGAAATATTCTTCAGGTCTTGCCTATAGTCGAGCAAATAAAAACCATTTAATTCGTTGCGATTTAACAAACTTTGAAGAAACAAATAAGGTCATTCATGATGTACAGGTAGATATGTTCGGGAAAGTCTCAATTTGGAAATAAGAACGAGGTAGTTTAATTGTATAGCCTGATGTTATTGTTCACTGTGCTGCTGAACGTAAACCTGATCAATTTGAAAAAGATCCGAAACGATCCATGTTTCTCAATGTTGAAGTAACACGAAACTTAGCTGAATTATCAGGTAATATACTTTCAATGATTCATTCTCTTCGATAAAACATTGTTGAACTTTTTCAGCAAAAGAAAATATATTCTTTATTCTGATTTCAAGTGACTATGTATTCGATGGTAAGAATCCGCCGTATAAAGAAGATGCTACGCCGAATCCGTTGCAAGCATACGGAAAGAGTAAATATGAATCCGAATTAGTAACACAAAAAGCGTCGAAGGGTAGAAATCGAATTTGCAAATACACTCGTGTAGTGTAATGAGAGGTTATTTAGATCATGTTATTCTACGTGTTCCATTGCTCTACGGTGAAGTTGAAACATTGGATGAGAATTCGGTAACCATTCTTTTCAAAAATATAAAGAATACTACCGCTCGTGTAAAAATGGATGAGTACGGTTGAATATTGTGGTGAATAGTTACGAAACTTCTGTTTGTTTTACTTCAGTGTGCAAACTCGTTACCCTACGTATGTTGGCGATGTAGCTGAAGTTTGCTTTCAACTGTCTGAACAAAGAATAAAACAGGTATTGCCTTTTTGTTTATCGCATCATGAACTCTGCTCTGTTTGATAGAAGCGAGCTGAAGTTCGTGGAATCTTCCATTTTTCTGGTTCAAAGAAATACACGAAATTTCAAATGGCGCTTCTCATTGCTTCGCTCTTTCATTTACCAGTGGATCATATCGAACGCGATCAACCTATCGTCTCTGGTGAAAGTGTCCCTCGACCTGATAATGCTGCATTAGATTCGACTAAGCTGGCAACTGAATTCGGCATTCAAATTGAACAGGCTGACTTTGAGACAACACTTCGACGCTGTCTCGAGCCTTTTGTTTAATTAACAACAAACGAATGTGACAGCTAAGATTGCTTTTTTCTTTTATTCAAATAAAATCTTGTCCAGCTGCGAGTTCTCGAGTCGATAATCCTGCAAGTAAATCTCGAGCATCTTTTTCTGTGACTGATAAGATCGATTGGATCGAATCAAGCTTATGCGAATACCCGGTCTTTGTTTCTGTATCACTTTCTGATTGATAATTCAATGCTGCTCGATACCGAGATGTGAAGATATCTTTCGATTTTAAACATTTGACAGCTATATTACCTATTACGAACGAAAAACTTTAGTTTCACTCTCGTCAATTTGCAAATTACTAACCAATCAATGTTCCGCTACTAGTTGGTAGTTGTCCAACACCACCATTACGGCCGAGGGTTAATAGAATGAGGGAATTTGTATGGATTTGATATGGCTTTGGATATGGCTTTTGCTTTTCAATCAATACAATCAATTTGGCAACGTAATTAGCTTGATCTGCTGCTATATACGCAAATTTAGCTTCTTTGTCACTTATGTCGCCAATAGCAAAGATCTTCTCGTAACCATCGACTTGCAAGTAATTATTAACCATTAATCGACCTGTGTGAGGATTTATTTTCGATTGCAAAGGACCATTGCTGATACTTTTGTTATTAACACGTGCACCAACACATACAAATGTTAAATCAGCCGTGATGCTGCGTTGATTTTTTTCAGTTACATATGTTTTTCGTCCTTCAATATAATTCATATTGGGATTATCTTCATTAGTTGGTATTTGTATGCCGTCATTTAATATAACTGTGATGTGCAATTTGGAAAGATTTTCATGTAAACGAGCATAGAGTTTGTCTTGAAATTGCTTTGGCTGTAGTAATGTTGGTTGATTATGAACAATCGTTATATCTTTACCAGGGAAATCAGTGACTATTTCACCCGCGAGTTCAATACCAACTGGTCCGCCACCAATAATCAAGATTTGTTGCGCCTCTTTGATCTTTTTTTGAAGATTATTATAAAGACTTATTGCCTTGGAACTGGCGACTTCAGCTACTTTACCAGGAAATGCATAGGATGAACCAGTGGCAATAACTAAATAATTGAAATGTATTGGATCGTGATATCCATGAACTTGTATGCTATCCGTCAGGATTGATATAACTTCCGCTTGGATAACACAACCTAAACATGATGAAATAGAATGATACATATTTTGTCGTTTTAAAGACTCTCTAGTTATTGTGAATGAATTTTATTAGAATGACATGTTACAAACCGTTTGTTAGCAGTCGATCGTAAGGTATAATAATCTTCTGAGCATAATTTTCTTCTACTGTTGCACGTAATGCAGCAACGTTATGAAGAAAATAAGATTTGCGGTCAATCAGTATGACAAAAAATTGGTCAGATTTATCCAATAATTTCGCACATTGAACACCAGCATAGCCCCCTCCAACAATAAGCACAACGGGTTTTTTATGTATATTCTCTTGAGATCCGCCGACACCCATTTTGTTCTAGTTGTGAATATGCGTCTTTTTACTTCTATATATAAATACCTAAATGACGTTTTGTCTTGTCATATCTCATACTGAATCATTCCTGGATGCCACACCAGTGATATAATGATGAGAATGTCATATTCAAAACGATTCAAAGATGGATTTGATCTGTAACATAGATCTTGCTGATGATTAATTATAAAGAGCTACAGTCGGTAAGTGTAATTAGATGCATCTCAGGATTATTAAAGATTTTATTTTTAAAGTAGAGGCCAGTCGCTGTCAGTCGGAACGTCTAAATGAGAATGAGTAGCATGATATGGCGGCAGGAGAGGATTACTTTTGTTCTGCAAGGGGAATATGAATTTGCATAAGAACACTGAAAACTGATTATTGGCCGGCGAGGAAGCAACCGACAGCTAACGACAACTGTCGCCGACTGCTTCATGAGGTCATTTTCGTCGCTGTCATGGAAGCAAATAGCATTCATTACACCCACCCACATTGATTTTGCCTTCCTCTAGCAGCACAATAGGCTGGACGGTATATGGCTACAGTCAATCAACCGATCGTTCTGTCCAATCAATATCCATGGATAATATATACATTTGCATACAAATATACACAGCTTTTTAATTATTCCTTTCCTTCCTTGCTAGCATGTCGAAAGAGAAGAAAAACACCTCAAAATATGAGTATTTATGTTACTACTTGGTTCACATGCTTTTTTTGTAAAAATGAAGGTCGCGTTCGATAGCGCTGATTGGTCTAACTGCCAGTAATTTGACATTCTAGATATTATGGCACATGGTAGAGGAGGTGGACTTCCTGGTTGGTTTTTACCCGCGGTAATAGGTGGTGTAATCGGTTTACTTCTATTGATCACCCTTCTTCCAATATCGTTTTCATATTTGGATTTTTATCACTATGGTTTTCTTCGTCGGCATACAACAGGTCGTGTTAGCCTTGATCGAGTTTACACGGGTGGACGATATCTGGTTGGTCCAGATCATCAGTAACTGAACATGTTATCCATTTTAAATTTACTCTTCTAAAAATCTTTTTAGTTTCAAGAAATTTAAAGCTACGGCACATTACGTCAACTTTAATCGTATTTCTGTTTTCACTACAGACAATCTTGAAGTTCATTTGGTAAATGACGAACTCAAAACTAGATTTTCTCATTTCAGTCTCTTTAGAGCATTACCTTCCAATTCTTCTTAATCAAAGACGATCTGCCGTTGCTACATTCAGCTTACGATATCTATTATGAACCAATTATAGTCTCAAATGCAAAAGAAGCCATCATCTCTACGTGCTCCCGTTTTGATACAGACGACTTCATCAATGATCGTGAGAAAATCTGGCGAGAGATATACTTAGGTGTTAAACGTCAATTAGGTAATTATCACTGACATTTTAAAGTGAAATTTCATTTGGATGTTGTCAGGTGGAACATGTTGTATACCAAACTGCAAAAAGAATTGCCCAAAATGCCCAATTCATGAGCAGTGTGTTGTGGGATGTAAGGCGCGTCAGCAAGGATGTAAAAAAGAAGAGAAGGGCTTTTTTGCCGAAGTACGATACCTTCAATTACATGGTAGGAATGAATTTCGATGAAACTGAACTGTTTAAGTCAGTGACATAAATTTAGACATTGATGTGCCCGATCGTGTTATGGAACGACGTCTACTTGGTTTAGTTCGCGATTTAGAAAAGGAACGAGAAGAATATCTTAATCAGGAAGCCCTTGTAAAAAAGCAAACTGATATATTAGCGAATCAATTCCGTAATAATGCTTCGCAGTCGGTTGCATTTTCTGATGCTCAGGCACAATTGAAACGTGAACAGGCGAAAGCTGATGCGCTCAAACGTGTTGAACTTGCACGTATTCAAGGTTTATCATCGATGTGTTCATCGTTAGGTGTTACCCAAGCCAAACACATCAGCACACTGCAGTATCTACGCACATTGAAAGATTCGGGGGATAATGTTAAATATTCCATCGACTTCAGCCATGCGATTGCTCAACAACCGCAAAATAGATTACCTTGATTGATGAACAGTAGCAGACAAACAAATGACATTTAATTTTATTTTGTGCGTGGACATTGGGAGGAAAAAATGAGGATAGTAACTCATATTTTGTGATACTTCTTCGCTAAGTCTTACTCATTGTGCTTTTTAATTAATCTTTAGTTTAATTCTTATTAATCTTGAATAATGTTTCGTACGTTTCTAGTGTTGGAAAGATTGTCTTTTGTCAAATAAATTGTCCTCATACTACATTATTACACTTCCCTCCGACGTTCGACCGATTCATTTTAATTTGAAAAGAAAAAGGTCAGAACAAAAGCACGTTCGTATTTAACAAAAACGAAGTAAATCGGAATATTACGGTATAATTCGAGTTATTCCATCGCTTTGCACTTCTTGACGAGCTTTAATTACTAAACTCACGCGATGAACTTCAATAGACAATTACACTCGCCAATACCAATTACCTCTAATTAACGCAAGGATATGTTCTGAAAAGAATGCACAAGCAGTTGCACATGCGATCAACACGCCTGGAAGAAGCGGAATACTGAAATGGTATTTTATTCAAAAACAAACGTTCGATTGAATTGGAATGATTTTTACCATGCTTTGCTATCTCCGCGGCAAACACCAGGTACGAATTGTTTCAATCCATCGGCATCAGTTGTGCTTTCGCATAGAGCATAACCTCAAGAAAACTCTGAATCGATGCTATCAGATATAACCTTCTCGTCATTTACCCCAAACATTGAAAGCAAATGCCGTTAGAAACAAACTACCAATCATTCCATGTACAAGAAGATCATGCTTTTTCGATGCATGCGTACCTATGACTATATGACTCCATAGACGTTCAACGCAATAAAATAATGTTATCCATGATAGTATGAAGAAGAACAATGCCGTTTGTGGACCGGCACCGACTAAAGTTCTCGTAATGAACGTTGGTCAGCTAGTTAGGAACATGGATTTACATACATGGCGGAGCAAAAGTGTGCCAATTGACGAGATTGGTTCCATCTCGTAGATAATGATGACAAGTGCCCATGATGTGCTGGATAATAACACAGGTTAAAGCAAACAGAAATTCGACTAAAGAAATTCGACCATCGTGAGTGATAAAATAGTTTTTAATTCGTTCGGTCCAGCTTGTCACCTTGATCAACGATTGTTGGAGTAGTTCAGTCTTAATCGGAGTTGGCGAATGAGATTTGCTAGGCTCGATGATCGAAGGGCTGGTCGTTTCGTCGGTAGCAACTGTTAGCGTATTCGTCATATTGAATTCGGAAATTTAAGCGTTAATTACTATCATAATCAGAGAAATGCTTGCTAATTTTCATTGAGAAGAGAAGAAGGAAATAGAAATTTGACACATTAACAAACAATTTGTTGTCATAGAAATTTAGTTTATTTTTATTATCATATTGATGACTGTGACACGTCTCTAACAGAAATTCTCATGTACGATTCACCTTAAATGAACAACTTGAAGAAGATTTCAGAGCTACCATAGGTAAACACTACAATTTTACAGTACAAGTCATGTCAAGTCACTTGATAGGCGAACTCTAGCTTCAATTATGTAAATATCACGACATAACTCAGGACCTCTATTTCATTTATGTGAGATTCACGTTTGGATCTTATGAAAAGCAACGACAGGTTCAACGAATTCATTAGAATCACATGCAGTGTCTTTAATAGGTTTCAGCACTTTCTACATGACAAATCAATCCAACACGAAATGAGTATCTTGAGAGTTGTGAAAACATTACAATGGATTCTGCTTTCTCTATACTCACTCCCATGAGACTTGCCTATAATTAAATGGATCTCTTTCTATTTTTGTCAAAATTTATCATCATAACAGCCACTATATACCTTATACACCAAGTGACAACCTAGAAAGTTAATTAGCTACATTAGATACACAGACGAAATGATAGACGTACGAAAAAATTGAGCTAAAATGTTCATTGTTGAACTTGAAACTTGAGATAAACTTGTTTCATTAACCATATGCGTTTTATATTTGTCTCGCCTATTTTCTATTTGATTTCGTTCACAATAATGACGTCAAGCAGTCTCAGCTATCTGGAATGCTCAAGAGAATGGAAGAGAAGAAGAAAAAAAGGAGAGAGCAAAAAAAAAGGAGAAGAAATAGATCCATAAAATTGTGTTTGTTTCATAATGAGATTCGACAAAGTTATCTGAACTCAGATTAGTCTCGTTTCACTCGAACAAGATTTTCTCAATCGAACAACCATGAAAGTAATTATTTTCAATTACCCCGCATCATTTCGTTTCGACTGATCTCTTTTTCAGTTATATTGTTTATTTATCCTTTTCTTATTTGTTAACATTCCGAAGGTGAGTACATTTGTACATGCGAAAGCAAGTGAACCGATGTGAATATTTGCTTATAGATCTCCGCATATCCTGATAACCGAATAGACTCATTGGTGAATATTGAAGAAGACTCATTCGAATCACCGTCATCATTTTTCACGGAAGAAGATCACTCGATCGTCAAACGTTCACAACGCAATGCAAATTTCCTTTATCGTTATTGTCGTCGTGCCGGTGGAGGTCAACGTTTTTGTTTGAAATATGCTATTCAGATGTTATATGCGACTGGACACTGATGATAGATCGATTTCAACTATAAAACACATTCATATCATATCATCAAAAGGTTCAATAAAGTAAATCCTTTTTGCATCTTGACTTTGACCATCGATAAAGATTCAAACAGATCGCGCGCTTAAATAATGCGATATGATTTTTCGATCAGTAGGATGTGTTTTGACTTTATTAAACGGATAGAAATGAAGGAGAGTATGGCTCGGAAACATTAGTTTACTGCAAGTCATGTTCTCACTGCTACTAAATGATTTTGTCGACAAAATTCAGGAAGCGGTACTTAGCTTATCTGAAATGATGATTTCCTAAAGCATACTTATGCTTCAGATGTTTCTATGCATTCAAATGAAACGTAAAAATGAAAGTATGGAAGCCATACTGAGTTGTTGAAAAAACATCAATTATCGGAGACATGCAAAAATGCACTCGCGTATTCAAAACTAAGAAATAGTCGGATATAATGATTTTACGATTGACAATAATGTGAATTTTTTAAATGATCAACGCAGAGTCGCATTCGTTGCACGTACGTTTCTTGATCATAAAACTACTCGTAACGATGGAAGACTAGTGCAGAAAACAAATATCTCTCTTTATTCTAATGAATAATAAATGGCTTCAAGCTTTGTCTACCGATGATTGTTGTTGAATGATTCCGGTTCCTTTTATAATTGCTACCCAATTCTTGCCTTACAGATTTTATCAGATGCAGCACGCATCAATCATCTGTGAGAAGAACAGTAATGCGTTCATAGGACATAAAAATAGACCTTTACATTACTGCGACATGTACCCGAGAGGTAGTCAACAGCAAACGGCGGAAAACTGTACACCTACAACCAGTTACTATTAATTACCAAGAACGCATGTGCAATATACCACTTCCGAAAATATCGTTCATCAAATGACAAATAAAGTGATGAAAGTAGCTTAGCTGAAAATGAGTGCTGCCATCATCAATTAAGTTAAAATATTTAAGTTTGAAAAATGGTTCTTTTCTGTGCATTTTAATTTAGTATTTTCCCACAAATATGAAATATGAGAAACTTCGCCGCTCAGTTCTTCTCCTATGACGAGAATTTGAAAAATACATTCTCAAGTTATCATCTTTTCAATGCACAAACAAAACTTCGTTCTCGTCTTCTTTGAGTTACTCTACTCAAAATATTTTCGAAATGATCACACCGATTACCTGTCCAAGTAGATTAGCAATTTTCATAAAAATTCACATATTCTCGAACGATAAGTTTCTTCATACTTCCTCATTGACATAAAACAGACGAATTTTATTGACATCCACATGCTTTGCATCAGAAACCTGAAAACAACACCATGATTATAGAGATCACATCTTCGATATTATTTCTTTAGTTATATAAACGAAATGCGCACAGCCTGTTTACTAAAAGTATACAGACGAAGGTCGGTCACATAATACAAAAAGAGAAAAATAATTTAAAGAACTTTTCGTCTGAGAGAGTACATCATGTTCATGATCTCATGGCACCATTAAATACATTTCCCATATTGCTGGCATCGGACCAAGCACCAACTGGCATACCAAGATTTTGCTGCGCAGGCTGATAACCATCGAATGGTGATTTGCCCTTTTTCGGTGGTTGTGGGCCTCCATGTGCAAGAAATTGAAAGTATTTCAAGAAAAAGTACGCAACGACTAAACTGATTCCGAGACTAAAGACTACGCCAAGTCCATTGAGAGTCCTAAAAGAAAATCATAATCCCAGATTCTTTTCCAAATACAACAAGTAAAACAGTTTTTCAACTTACCAGATGAACCAGTAGTTTGCTAGACAAGCAGCGAAATCGACGGTTGGCATGTTCAGAGCTTGTTACGAATGTATTACTTGTTTGTCTTGAGAAAGTATGATTGAAGCGAGAAGCGACAGCTTTTAAACAGAGTACCTTATGTAAATATTGCATATATATTTGTTTTTTCATCTTACGCCTTTTTCTTCCACTTTCGAGAATTTCACTGTTGACGTGAAGAGAAAACATTCGACTGATTTCATAATTTTTTATGAAAAATAAAGCTTAACTTGCTTTTTCCATTAGCCCAAAACAACACTTTAATCTTATGCAGGATTGTGAAAGGAAAAAGAAAGGGCATTCTGGTGTTGTAAATACAACGAACAAATAATTATTCGTATGTGTTATTCCAAAACTATTCGATTTCTTTTTTAATGACAGTAATATTTCAAACATTATCTATGTAAACAATGTGACAACGCGCACACGATCGGATGTACTGTTGTCAAAGGAATGTCTGTGCATTGATAGATTAATTCGTGTTATACAGCTTGTGTCGTAGGCGAAAACGATTACGCAAGAAAATAACAATGATGACGTTGAAAGCCGATAGATGTAGGTTGTATTCAACTTACATAGTACATTCTCGTTCGTGTAAGCCAAGCAACAGTCATAAATCAGCTACTCGACGAGATAGGATGTGTTATAGATGTTTATATATCGGACATGTTCTTGTTTTTGTGTTGAACATTCAACGTAGGTTTCCTTCGTCATTAATTATCAAGAGAGAATTGGCACTTCGAGTGTATATTTTGTAGAAAATAATGGATTCATTTGTCCTAAGGATGGTCGATGGCCTCATCCAGCTGATTGTGAAAAGTGAGACATGATTAACACGCAGATAATTATTGCATATTCGATATTTTGTATATAGATTCTACACATGCAATTCAGGCACTGGTGTCGAAGCATGGTAATTAACGTAGACAGATATGAAAGTATTGATTTCCGTGTGATGTTTTTCCTTGTGGAGAGAAAATGAGATGATGAATATCCGTTTCATGAGCTTTCCACGGAAATCATTCTGTGCTTTTTTTGTGCACTGGAGTTTCAACAGAAAAACGAAATCTTTGTAGGTGCGGGAACGGTATGACGTATGATATCGATCATGGTCGATGTGATTTATCGAAGAATATCGATTGTAAAAATGGCGAACGACCGAACTGGATACCACCGTCCGAATGTATTTCAATCTTTTGGAATCATTTTCGTGCAACACTCTGTTTGATTTCAGGGAAAACCGAAAGCGTAACAGAACACACAATGATAAATACCTCACCGAATTCGATCGACGACGCAACGAATCTCGAAAATCAGTTTCAAATAACAATGAGATTAGCAACGATCCTGTCGACGAAAATTATTCAAAGTCGAATGCTCGTACCGAGCAACGATCTGAGCGAAAGCGTTCATTGTGCATTCCAAGGAAATATGCCCGACCCCGATGATTGTCAATGTAAACTATTCGATAAAATGAATTCTCAAGCATCGATATATTTCTGCTTGTCTTTAGCTTATCTAACATGTAAAGACGAGATTATAACGCATTTTCAATGTCCAGACAAACATTTGTTTGACGACGATCTTCAATCGTGTAACGATTATCGAAAGGTTTTCTGTGGAAATCGACCAATGAAGAATCGCGCACAAGATCTATGTGAATTATTTCAACATTTCCTGGAGAAGATAATTTTTTTATGGAAATCTTCTTTTTCAGGCATCGGACGGCCGAATGGTTGGTACGCGAATTATGAGAAACACTGCCGTTCATATTATCTATGCACTGAACAACGTACAAGTAAAATGAATGATTGCCCTACAGGAACAAAATGGAACCCGAATCAATTTCGATGTGACGATCCGAAATATATTCTCGCGCCATGTAAGACATTTTTCGTCATTTCAATTCTTATTGCTCTGCTTTGTCTAGGTGGTTATCGGACTCCCAATCATGCCTCTCTATTAAGTATTTAATTTGATTATATTTTCATTTGAAAATAAATATTTATTTTTATTTTCGAAGGTCATCACGATTCTTATTCTACAATGTTAATACTTTTTTCTTTCTTGTTATGGATAATATAGCACATTATTATTGTTTTTTCTTCTTTTCTTTAATGTAATAAAGAAGAAAGTCTCATATTATGGCTAGTAACATATTTACTTCATATATGAACATGATCGATGACAGCAGAAAGAAATGCATGATCACTAATCGATCTTACCCTATTTCTTACCAATCTCGTGTTTTTTCTCTGCAAATGAACTTGAAACTTTCGTGAGAGGCACACTATGTTTAGTGATGAAAACAAATTAAAGGCAAAATATATATCATAGAGTTGTTTCTTCAATATTCTTTCAGCTTCTGGCATGTTTGTGAAGTCATTATTTGATTCCCATTCATTATAGGAGATTACTAAAGCCAGGATCAGTGTTTCATGACTAGCGCATGCTGATCAGTTTTAGTAGATGAATAATCTGAAAAACAAAACCATATGCATGGCGGATAGACTTCAAGGAACTCTTTCTTTCTCAGTATCAATAAGTTAACAGAGAACAAAAGAGAGAAAAAAACCAATACGTTGGACTCAAGTCTTTATTTAAATGTTGTCTTGTTTTCTCATGAGTATAGAATCAAGCAAAACAGAAAAGAAATACTTCAGTTTCGTTTTATTCCTTAGTAAATTACATATAAATGAAGGTAATAACATGACTATCAATCATTGAAATAAAATAACGAGAAAGTTTATTGGTTTTGCTTTTTTTTCCCTGATTATATTTCCTAGTTTTCTTGTCCTGATAAGGAAAATAACCTAGTCGCAAACCGCCCATGTTGATTATATAAAAAGAGAAAAAGATTTTTATTGGCGTCTAATGATAAAATATCGCAAGAACGGGATGCAAGGGCATCATCTCAGTACTGTAGCTTAACTACTATTTGTCTCGTGTGGATTCTATCGAAGAGAAGAGGAAAGAAAGAGAGAAAATGACGAACATCGAATAGGAGAGAAAAGAAAGAGGAAAATAGTAAAAGAGAGAGAGACGGAGCTTGATTATGGCAATGCTTGCACTTCGAAAATCTTTCTCTATTCTTTCGATGTGTCTTGTTAGTGAGCTCGACTGACGATGATGTACTGACAGTTTTAATATATGAACGTCGAAGACAAGAAACAATCTAGAGAATAGAAGGAAACGAACGAACAGCATGATAACGTCAACATGGAAAAATTTTGACATTTACAATAATGAATAGTTCTTCCCCTGCTATTCTAATCTACTCGATTACATACGCGCAAGGAGGTCAATAGACAGCCGCGGAAGATCTCGATTGCCGTACGCACTGTCAGCAGCAAATATTAGCAATTCTTATCGGCGATATGACTGAAAAAAACAGCTGACAAAATAGCCTTCAACTTCGTTCGATCGTGTGAGTCATAATAAACTCGTCATGTTGAAGGTAGTAGACGAGGCAGAGTAATAGTAATATAAGATCCTTTTCCTCTCTCTCTCTCGTCTTTCTTTTCTCGTCGGCTTTGATGATAGGTCGATGCTCACTTCATCTCGTTTTCATACCAATCTAGTTTCTTTTTTCTTTTTAATGAGAATATGAAAGGTCGGCTAGCGAAGTGTTATGTGTACTCCGATGTGCGCACCAAACTTTATTTATAATTCATTGATTGATTCTTTTTTTCCAAACATGTCGGTTTTCTTCTCTTTCATTTGTTCCAGAAAAAAAGAATATAAGCATAGTCTTCATGGTTGATTACTATTTTATTTGAAGAAAATGCATCACATCGTTAGTGAAGATGATGTCATTGTTGATCCCTCCACGATCAAATCCAATGCCATATCGTTAACTGCAAAGATGATCTTCGTTCTTATATGCGCATGTAACATGGTGCAGAACGCGATTGTCGGAGGTTCAAACAATGCGATAATGACAACGTTAGAAACTGGATTCTATATGACATCAACTGAAACAGGATTATTTCAATCAGTGTACGAGCTTGTCGCAATCTTTACGTATCCACTTGTTGGTTATTTCGGCGATCGAAGTGGTCGAAAAGTTCGCTGGATATCAATATCGATGGGTATACTTGCTGGTGGTTTTCTAGTTATGTCCTTTCCGCACTTATTAGAATCGAAACGTGGTAAGCCACCGCTAGATCCGCGAATCGTTGATCATCTGTCATTATGTAATCCCAATCGAACAATCAATGTTTGTACAATATCGAATAATTTGCGATTTTTAAGCGATTTGAAATATGTTTTCTATCTGTCGAATATTATTAACGCTTGTGGGTCGGCTGCACTGCCCACCCTAGCTGTGACGTTAATTGAAGATTTGTTTCCACCAGAAAAAGCACCTATTGCCCAAGGTAAAATTTTCATTGACATGAGTAGATGCATATTCATCATGGAAAGTGTACGTTTCCTTTAGGAATATTTTATGCAATTGGCGGAATCGGTATTGGCCTTGGCTTTCTTGCGACATCGCAATTTTTGAAAGTCTACACCTATATCAAAAAGCCACTTTGGTTAACACCAGTCTATTCCGAGTGGGTTGGAGCTTGGTGGTTAGTTTATGCATTAGGAACATGTATAAGTTTGATTCTGTGTTTATTCCTGTGCATATTCGACATTGGTGATCGTCGAAGTAAATATCTCATTCAACAAAAAGACACGCAGAATGCGTTAAATCCAAGTTATCTTCTGCTCTCTCCGACAAAGAGTACGGGAAAAGAAGTCATTGCGAACAATCGTGTGTTATTTTCACGAACGAGCTCATCGACAACGAATCTAAGTTCATCAGCGAATGTTGTATCAAATGAATACCTCGACGACGAAATCATTATTCCAGCCGATACATCGAATATGACATGTTCAACAGCAACAACTCTTACGAAACTCAAAGAGTTCCTCGACGATGTATTTTCACTAATTCGACATTTACTTTTGAACTTGCGTTTCATGGGTATAACATGCTGCGCAATCATCGAGGCATTACTTATCAAAGGATATCTTGCGTTTCTCAGTAAACATATCGAATATCAATTTCGAACAACATCATCACATTCAAGCGTTTATATTGGTGTTATTTCATTATTTTCAGTAAAAAGCAAAACTTAACTGTCATTCTCAAGTATCACTCGTGGATTTTCTCTTCTTTCAGGTTATTTTTGGCACGCCATTAGGCGCCTTTTGCGTCAAACGATTTGATATGAACGGAAGGCAATGCGCAAAATTCTGTTGTATTATTCTCGCTATCTCAGCTGTGATTTTTCTCGGATTAATGCTCCATTGTCGTGAGCCAACTATTGGTAAATGCAGACACGATAAACATGACATGATTGATCCCCTTATTTCTAGGTACAACACATTCCATGCCTGTTATATCAACGCCGTTTGATGACGATTTTTATGATGAACCTGTGATACAAGCTGATCCGATCGACAAACCATGTGAAGAAACTTGCAGTACGTAGATTAGAAACAACTTTTGACGTTATCTTGTGATTTTCTCTTCGAAGGATGCGATATGAATATCTATGAGCCGGTTTGCGATATGAAGAATCGTAAAACGTATCAAAATCCATGTCTATTAGGTTGTAAAAGGATTCTTAAAGGGCAATACACCGACTGTTTATGTCTGCCAAGAAATAGTACAGTGTTTGTCGGTAAGTGTCTTGCATGATTTTCTTCTTCCGCAAAGTTCTTTTTTCTTTCAGGTCGATGTAAAGAACGTAAATGCACTATAAATTTGATGATTACATTATGCGGCGCGTTCATTGTTGTTTTCATGTCATGTTGCGTCATTGTTCCCGCATTGAAATGTGTACTACATAGTGTGGAACCAACACATCGTGCATTTTCGTTGGGATTTAAATCGACGATGACGAAAACATTCGGATATCTTCCTGGAACGATTCTTTTCGGTGCAATTATCGATCGAACATGTAAAACATGGATACGTGGAACGTGCGGATTCAAATATCAATGTAAACATTACAACAATAAGCGTATGGCCATATCGTTGGCCTTGCTCGGCTGTGGTTTTCGAAGTTTATCCGCATTGTTTTGTGCAATATCTTGGTATGCTTATATACGAAAACCTGATTTACAAGAAAAGAAACGAACTAGTCGACAACATTCACAAAGTCTCATGCCCGAGCTGACGAAGACTGTTGATAGTTAAAAGATTTCATATTTTCCTTCTTTCTAGTCATATGTGCTTCTCTGATTTCACTTGTGAATTTGTCAAATGTAAATAAATGTATATGTGCGTGTGTATGCAAGTAAATAAATGAACGATATCAAAGCGAACTTTTCTTAGATTGATTTGATGGCGATAAAATAGATTTGATAGAAATGAAACACGACAGTAGTTCTTTGTCTTTTACAAAGAATAAATTGATTTATCGAAGATTCTATTAGAATAAAAATGTTAAAAGCTCGGAAACAGAAAGACTTTCTCCTTGATTAATTGTTAATTTGTCTTAAAAGCTATCTCCGCAGACGACACAATGAGAAATGATGTTATTTATAGAAAATGAACATTATTCTCAAATTCCATTACAACGAACATTCCGTCATCAGATCTTTTTAACCGACAATCACACATTGAAGAAAACATTTTCAATGCAATTCATTCATTAATGAGCAACAGTGAATCAATTAACATTTCATCTGTATGTTGATGAGAGAACTTTACAGGATAAGGATGTAAAATTTATCACGATGTCGACAAGTGACGAACATTTCTCAGTTGCGTGTGGAATACCTTGAATAGATTTTGGGAAACAACATGACAAGATCCTCCCTTAATTGTAATCCGTGACTGAATGCTAATCGTATTTATTTAACGTTTGCATGTTTCAAATGCATGCGTAGGAAGACTATTGTGTCTAGTTGCGACAACAAACATGCAAAAGTCCGCATCTCTACTGTCTAAGTAAATACTGTATAGCGAGGTCATTCTGCCACGTAGCTGTACAGTAAATACAGAAGTCTCGATAATAGATTATGCGAAAATGATTTCATTGGATCAAACTAAGAGTAAAATCAATGCTTCACGATGTCGTCACGTCATCTAATGAAAAACCTGTTATGCGTTTCGCCAAAGTGAGGTATAGATGCTAGTTAGAGACTAAAGAGCGAGAAATGCTCATGTGAATGAACAATGTTTCTTCTGAACTTTTTATTGAAATACGACACTGAGAACAAATCAAACAAATGAATATTTCGATAAGAAATACTGTCACAGTGCAAGTCAACTATGCGTATCATGTATAAAACAGAGATCTGCAGTTAACCTAGCACCGAAAAACGAAATTACGAAATCTTGTCTTTCCTACGTAAATATCGAACAATAACTACGTGTTAGTACATATTGAGATTAAATCAACCTACATGTGTTTTATCGACAAATAAATCAAATCGATTTTGTTAATCATTACCGATCTCTTATTCAACCATCGCTTTCTTTTCAATTGAAAATGCTTGTTCACTTAAGTTTCATTCTCTTCCTCCCATATATTTCAACAATTGATATCATACAGGTACGAGTGTCGACTGATTCTTCGAATAGTTGGATTGTCCGGAATGAACACGAAGGTTTCATTATCGATTGTGGCTGTTACTGGGAACATGGAGAAATTCTTGCTCGAAAATGGCGTGAAAACTTTCCCAACGATAAATTACCAGCCTTTATTTTCCTCACACATACACATTCCGATAATATTCTTGGACTCCCTAGTTTATTAAATGAATTGAACGTCACTCAAATACCTGTCTACGTTAGTAGTGTGGGTGCCTTGAATGAAATGAACTATTGGTTGGAGATTTGGCAAGACATTAATCCGTTTGAATCATCAACGTTGCTAGATAAACGGCAATCACCAAACCAATTCCGTTATAATGAGCATATTAAAGTACTTGATCATCCATTGACTATGTTCGGTGATGAAAAGATACATATTATTTCAAATTTTCCAGCTGCAGAATCGATTCATTCATCGATGATCTACATTTCTACAGTACGAGCTCTTTTCACTGGTGACCTAGTCGCTGTAAATAGTCATCTGTTTGTTTCACCGTCAGACACTTACTCTGATTCGGACAATCATGTATGTAACTGGATTGGAGTTTTACAAAGTTTAAGCTGTGCATTTCCATCATCAACTCGATTATATCCCGCGCATGGCGACGAACAATCATCGATGTCATTTATTGAAACCATCGATGCGAATATACGATGGTTAACTTACATGCGAGCATTGGTATTTAATTCGTGTAACACAACGTTCGTTATGCGCATCTTAGAGGATGTTTTTCGTANTGCTGGTTTCTTAGTTGCTTCGACCTTCTACTCAAGTTTTGGGAACACAATGAAATAATCAATGAAAAGAGGAGGAAAGGCATACTTCAGCTTTGGGTGGAGCAGGTGTTGCTGTAGCTGGTTTTTTACTGGCAACAGAGGCTTTTTTTGTTGCTGATGTTGCAGTTCCTGCTGTCTTTTTGTCCGACATGTTGAAAACGATAGAAACAGAGACTAAAACGAATCTAGAAGGAAAACTAATGTGTTGATTTTGAGGAGTGTATCAAACAAATGAATAGAACAGGACTGACAAGATGTCCAATTTTCTTTTTCACTTTTTGAATCAGTATTGTTTATTTCTTGGAAGTCCATGTTTTCTATTGGTGTTTTTGTAAATCCATATGCTCCTTGATAACAAAATAATGTTCTCGAAAGATTTTTATTCACCGAAATTCATCTGAAAATTTATATTCAAAAATCTTATAATGTAAACGTCCTTTTACGTGTAAAATAGATGTCGTTAGTATCCAGCCTCATGATCGTCATTTCTATCCGGGCGGAGATGGACAGTGTTGATCTTGTCAAGAGAATTTCTTATATTGGAATTCCGAAGACTCGTCCTTTGACATTCATTAATGCATACTGTACTATATTATGATAGTTTCGGTCACAAGATCATTTAGACATTGTTCTTTGATTGTGAACACATACTGATTTGTTACTGTATTGTAAAGGAATGTATGAGGCACTGACTGTGAATAAGTACCAAAAGATGAAGAACGAGAGATGTTTTGTTTAGATAGAAGACGAACCATAGTTGATATTAATTAATAATTACCTTCGTTATTGTGAGCGCGATGCTAACACATGTGAAGAACAGTAGACACTAATTCGTTTGTTTTGGTTTCGCTAAGTTGTGATGTTTTTACGGATACAGTATCAAGAAAGATGAAGTATTTAGAAGTTATCTAGAGATTCAAACACTGATCGGAGAGGTTATGGTGTTTTCTTCATCTTGAATTGTGTTGTATTAAACTATTGTTGAAGTTACGGACGTTAGGGATCGTCTAGACGTGTTAGTCCTTGAACAGGAAAACGCAAGCTCAGTGACTGTCTACTGCATAATAACAAAGTAAGTTTGCGTAGCTTATATTAATGTCATACAGAAGTGTGAACTTCTCATTGTTTGTCATATGCTACTTAGTATCAGATCATCAACAGCTGTTTTCATCTCCTACAACAATAAATATATCCAAATCTGCTTCGAGTTAATCTTTTTTTCCATAGAAAATGCTCTACAACTTCGCGAGCATTACAAAACAAAACTATGTTTCTAGGTGTTTTCATTGTCAGATACGTTCGATTTCTAGTCATGTTTGATCACCTTCGCTGATGTAGAACAATATAATCAATGACAAAAAAAATCAGAAGCATACAAGCAACAAACAAACCAACAAACTTACACACATTTGATCAGCTCTGCATACTAGTTACAAAAAATATGATATAATCAAAAAACAAAAGAAGAGTCCTCTAGAATTAGAAACAAAACAGGAAGAATCAACACAGGATTGATTGCTAGGAACTGAACAAAACTCGATGTTATTTTGACCACATCGTGGAATAGAGAACGGAAGCAAAAGTACGTTCCCGACATTTACATATATGATACATAAGAGAGAACAATTTTCTTATACGGACGTTTCATAAACAGATGATCGATGCGAATTAAGCTAAAAGAAATGCAAACATAATAGATGCATTTTTATGATTAGATACATACGTTTTCGGACATGGGTCGATTTTTCACCATTCCTTCGATGGATTTGTCAGCTTTTGGTCTTGGTATTCTAAAAATGCACCTGGATAGTTTCAGATGAAAACAATTGTAAAAAATCGGTCTCTATTCGAACTTCTATAAACAATTCTCGTTATCTACAGGCAATCACGAATAGCTATAAGGTTTCATTATCCTGTCAAATGTTGTATCTTTCTCTCTCTCTCTTACTTGGTCCACATAGATGTTTATGTAATCTTTAGACGAAGAAAAAGAACACAGTTACTGATACAGATATTACAATAATTGACAGAAATTTGCCAATGAAAATAAAGAATTTCACTTTCATTTGCATATTCAACAAACCTATTGAGATTCTGTTTATTGCCAGAATCACGTTCATCAGATGATGATGCTGATATACGAATAGCTAATCCATTTGTTGTTTCATCGAAATATGTTGATGAAGGTTTTTTATTAATTTTACTCATATTCAGCGATGAGAGAGATGATCTTGTAAACGTGATCTTTTGATTATCGTCATGATCTGTTGAGGAAGTTCCACTATTGATTGTTTTACTATTGTTTTTTGAACTGTCATCTGTTTTGGTATTGATAGCTGAACTAGGCGTTGATGATGTTGTCGTCGACTCATTCGATAGTGGTATCGAACCACAATAATGTCGACTACTCAATGTTCGTGCTGCCGATGATGTCGGATCGTCGGTAGTTGATTCTATGATATGTTGAATAACTTCCAATGGAGATGGTTTATTCGTTTTGATTTTCTTTGCTGTATTATGATTAGTTTTGGCTGGTATATGCGTTCTCGGTTTAGTTGGAGGAGGCGATGGGCGCAGATGAGCTGGCTTAAGACGACGATCGGGTACAGGTGGTGGTGGCGATGGATATTCAAATTCATGTTCAAGATTAGGATGAATATGATGCGTAATTGCTGTAGTTGCTGTTGATGAACTCATTGTGGGCGAACGAGGCGATGTGGTAGCTGTTTGTTCGGACTCGTAAGCTTCGTCAGTAGTCGATGGTATAGAAGAAACGATCGATATCAGTGGACTTTTTGTTGGAACAAGGAAATCACTTCGAATATATGAATAGCCTGAATAACAATCTGATAGTAATTCATAAGGTGATTGATTCTTTCTTGAAACAGATGGTACTAATGTTTGATGAATGTTAGAACGTTCTTGGTTGCTTGAATAACCTGAATCACGGCAAACATCCTCGCTGACGTCAAGTGTAAGATTACTTTCATCGATATCTTCGATAGTTTTTCGTTGAACTCGACGATACTCTTCTGTGATGGTGGTAGTCACTAGCCTTCGCGGAGATGCTCGCTCATCTTCTTCGATTCTTAGAATATGATCATCAGGTTGAAATTCATCGGTGAGAGCAAAGCGAGTATTTTTTAATATCGATCGAATAGGTGGCGGCCTACAATGATAACAAATTCAGAGTCAAAATTAGTGTAAATATTTGAAGAAGATCATAGGTCTTACGGTTCATGGCTATTTTCGCTAATGTTTTTATTCAGATGAGTATCATTGGGTATACTATCGAGTAGCAATCTGCCTTGTCGCACTGTTTCCTCTGTAATACCATCTGTCGATACATGGGGTACTATGTTATTCGAAAACAGATTACAACGTAAGTCGTGTGTTGGTATTTGACTAGTTCCAGCACGCATCATTCCATCGTAATAACGTCCTAGATTTATATGGCGTTTTTGTATATGTGAGCGATAGATAGGAAGTGAATTATCAGGATGAGTTTGTTCAAAATATACTTCGGTATTTGTCGATTGGTCTGGGTTTGTATTCAGGAGAGAATTAGTTGTTAGAAGTTCGTTGTCAGCAATCATTAATGTTGATGTTGGAGATTCCTGCAAAGAAACAATAACAAATCAAAACAAGCTGATTGACTTTTACCATTGGAAAACAGAGAAAAATGACAATCTAATGTAACTTGATCTATTCGAGGACAAGAACGAATATAGGTGATATAGTTTTATGTTTCACAACAGCAAAAGCAATATATATGCCCTTCACTTCTCCTTTTCTTTTCCTATATCCTCTGCAAACACATTGTTGATCTTAAAAGGTACATAGATGAGAAAAGTCCACCTTGAAGTTGATAACTTCTAGCATCTCAGACAGACAAAAGGTATGAAACAACGAGCACAACATTAAATGATAGACGATTGTGACAGATAGAGATAGTAGAATCTTCTTAACGGGCGTCTTTCTAATTCACAGAAGGTCCTGGATGTATTAGAAAGTCACATAGACCAGATACTATAACTCGAATAATCTCTTGGGAAAATTCAATGATGACTTTCATATGATTTCTATATGTATATATATAAATAATAGACAAGACAAAAAGCAAATATCAATTCCATCGATACTTATTTATCGAAAAAATTACTTACCATATGTTCGATACTCTTCTTTTATTTTCTAAGGATTTTATTTATACTATAACTAAAAGGATTTCGAAGAACATGCTCGTTTTCACTACACGTACCTGATCTGGCGATTGTTTTGAATGAGCTGTACCATCGTCACTAGATCGAGAGAATGTATATAGCCGATTCAAGCTACCCCGAGGTATGCTTGTTGATATTTGATTAGGTTGATCAGAACTATCAGCTAATGTTTCTGCTTTAGTAGAGAAGACAATGAATTCATCTGGACCGTTAACATCATTCTCATCTAATTCGCGAAGTGCATTTTCGTCGTCGGACAATTCACGAATGTCGGCGTCAATGTCGGGCTCTTGTTGAAATTCTTTGAAATGTAAAACATCATTCAAGATTGAATCGACTAGATCGACGGCAAGCCGTTCCAATAGCATATTTTTTTTATCATCATCAATTTCTTCGACAGTATGGATGTTATTTGTCGGCGGTCGTTTGTCATTTTCTTCTTCATCAGTTACATCCTCTAATTCGACACGACCAAACGCGAGTTTTTCACTAGAAAAGAGAAGAAAAGGCGAGGCATACAATACTGATTTTGTTCAATCTTCCAAATCCAAATCGGATGTTAGGCACTCATTCTTTCCTAACGGATGATTTTTCCGCTGAGTGAACAATTCTCCCAGATTAACTACTGAACACACATTTGTCTCTTCTCATCAACAATATAGATCAATTATCTGTCGAAAACAATTATCTGACATATCAACTATTAGACTTAACTGAAAACTTGAGAGTAGCGTTCTTTTTCTTTTTCTCTTACTCAGCTAACGACATTGTTTGAAATCCATTCAGATTAATCCGTTGATCGTCGTGTTGCTAAAAGATAAAAAACAATACATAAGACAAAGTGCTAGTAGATGAATGGCAAAAAAACAACAAAGCGTCTCTGTTTCTTCTTCTTCTTCTTGCGTCTCGTTCTTTTTATACGTCTGTTAGTAAAACATATACATAAGCGATTAGAAACGAGCAGCACATGAAGAACAAGAAAGAGAAGACGTAGAAGAAAAAGACATAAACATGTATAAGAATATATGCTAACCTTATCGTTCGTCAACGAGTGATTGTCCGTACTACGGGTGTTATTCTCGTATGTAGTCGTGCTTTTGACGTCAGCGAAATTCGTATCGTCCATTAAGTGATGAATTTGTTCGTCAACATGTATATCCGAGCGAATATTGGTTTGACGATTCCTATCTGATTTGATTTTAATCGTCAGTTGATCGTCATAGTGACGTTTTGGAATATCGTAGTAATTTGATTTCGAAGTTACTTGTCGAATCGATGGCTTTTTTGAAGTACCTATAAAAGAAATAATTTTCGGCGTCGTTCTCTCTTAATAGTCCTTGAAAGGGAAAAAAACACACACACGATTAGTTTGTCTATACAATTTTCTTCCTTTTTTGCTTCTCTAATACATTGTCAGACAATGGCACAGGGGCATGTGCGCACTTGTTTACTTTTTTTTTTCGTCAAGAAGTACAACCTCATCTGTTTTGATTGATACCATCCGACTGGATCTGTAAAATACGATTATCTTTTACAATCAGGCATAAACTGTCAGTTTTCTAGCTGCGAAAGAATTTGTCTTGTTCTTTTGTTGCCAGTCTATGTTACTAATCAAACCGAGATACATACATGAAAAACAACAAGCCGACGGAGTATTTATTTGATGAGCAAACAACGTGATGATACGTTGTCCGTGACTGTTTCTGTCTTCACTTTTCTAATATATTTCGAGAAGACAAACAAATGTGACATAGAGCTGACAACAGCAAGGCCAACAAGTCTTTCTGTAACGATGAATCAGAGTTAGCTGTCTAAAGAAGTGTAATTCCTCTGATGAATTTATCTATACTTTACTTAATCAATCCCGTCTAATCGCATAATGAAACCTTGAATGACCTTATTATTTCTATCAAACGTCATTTGATAAACTAATGCTTTTCTTCTATCGCCTCATTAAATTGTATGCAATTAAATCTTCTTATTTAATCTGTATCTTCGCTATAGGAAGACAAAATGTATCCATTTACACTGAATTAATGAGATAGAAGAAGAATAATAGAGGCAAAGTCGAATTCAGTAGTTAATAACAGTCTCAACAAAGTATACGTAATCAACACAATCGATTTTTGATAAAGATCGCCTAAAATCGATGTAAAGACCATGTCGTATAAATGTATATATGTAGTTAAATGATCCTTGAATAATGCGACTATCAGATTTAGTTCTCATCGTGTTCGTTTTAATGAAAAGTAAATGTTGATGTCAATGATTGATTTTTTCACATCAAGATTTTCTTTTAGCTTACTAATCTGATCATTTCTCGTCTGGATTACAAACTGTGCTGGTTGATACCAATGGCTTGATTTTGATACACGTTCAATGCCCTTTTCGTGCTGCTGCTGCTGTTGTTGATGATGACGACGAGAAGTCGATGTTGATGATGAAGGTAATAATGGAGAAAAGTTCATTCCATCGATCATATGTTGCGGATGCCAGGAATGTATTGACGGGGATGGCGATGTTCCTTTTGATGAACGATACGAACGATAACTATGTGGACGTTGTACATGAATTATCTCGGGAGTACGATGAACTTCGCGGCTATAATGACTTGCCGACGTCGCTGTTGGTTTGCTGCATTTTTTAAACGAAGGAGCAGAGTCATTATACCAGGAAGGTATGTTCAGTTTTTGAAGCGAACATTGAAAACGTCGTTGATAATCATTAGTCATTCCTGCTAATGTTGTTGCCATTAGACCTGATGGATGAGAATTTTTAGTGGCAGTTGTCAATTGTTTAGACTTTTCATGAAAAATTGATGAACATAGAACAGCGTCACATTGCTGTACCAATTCGTCGAATATACTTAAATCATAATCTGATTTACGTATCGGTCTTAAATCTATATAAATGCAAAACGTGACATTAATACTGAAGAAAAAATGAATCGATTCAAGACAGGAAGTAAAGATATGTAAGCGGATACGACTAGTATGAAATGAATACGTTCATAGATGTGGAGAGATGTACTTATATTTATTTACGAATAAAACAAGGCAAATCGCATATCTTTAGTCATGCATGAAATGAAATGATTGATACTCTATTAGGAATCACGGTCTTCTTTTTTTTTTCTCTAATAAAGATATAATCGGATTAGTCTCTTTTTCTCTTACCCAATATGGTCAAATTATCTTCGCTATCATCATCTAATAGACCAAAATCGCTTTGGATCTGTTCATGTCGATGTCGTGATACCACATATAAATCGATCGTATTATCATTGTTGGTATTATCACTTGGCAAATAATCTAAATCATTGAAAGTATGATAGAAAACAGAAGGTGCGTGTGGAATAACGTGTGCGAAGAAAAGCCCATAAGGATCGATGGAATGAATATGAGTGATAAGAACTGAAACATTATCTTGCACTTGTTTGCGCTCGCTCTTTCTCCTTCTCCTTCTCCTTTCCTCTCTGTCTCTTTCTCGTCCCTTCTCTTTGTCTCAAAAGAGCGCAAGAAAATGAGACGAGAAAGAAGAAATCTCTTTTATATTATGTGCTTGTTCAACATATAATACACTTGAAATGCTTTGTAGTTCTTTGTCGCTTGATTTTATATGGATAGATTTGAAGAGAAAAAAAACACAAAAGAAAAGTTACACATGTATATTCAAGGAGTGCCACTGGTTAGATTCCATTTACATGTTATTGATGACTTAGTAAGTTCAACGAACGGCGGCATGGATCACACGAGCACTCACATAAGCACATCCATCAAAATGACATCTGCTCCTTTGTCATGGAGTAAAACTAAAGGAGAATCATTACTACATACTTGTTGTAGTATCGGCCGATTCGGTCATTTCATCAGTTCTTTCGAAATGTGTTCTTGATTAGCCAGCGTTCTCTATGTATGGTTGTTATCATTAGTCAATAGAATAAGTAGTATTTCTTCCAGTGAAGGTTAAATCATCATCATCATCATCGTCGTCGTCGCCGTCGTTCAGTACTCAGTCATACTATCTAACTCATTATCATTACCGTTATCATTTGCAACGTAGTATTCTTTTTTCCTAGTGTATTGAAGGCTGATTTATATTTTATGTTAGTTAACAGTGAAAAGGGAAAAAGAACGAAGAATAAGAAAAGGAGCTACTGGCACAATCGTTATTGACATGAAGATGTCTGCCAGATCATTCTATATAACAAAAATTACCATCTTCTTCTGTTTTTTTCCTTGCTTTTCTTTATGAAATGCAGAGAAAAAAAACTCGAACAAAAGAGAAGGAGAGAAGCAAACAGGCAGAGCGAAAAATATGCTTTTGATATAGTTATTTGATAGATGACAAAAGTCTGATTAATTACGTTTATTTTTTAAGAAACTAAGAGCAACTATATACAACATGTCGATTGATGAAATCTTCGATCTCGTCGGTTTTATATCCGAGTTCATTAAGGATTTCGCGTGTTTGCTCTCCACATCGAGGTGCGGGTCGATGAACCAACCATTGAGATCGACTCATTGTGATAGGCTGGCCGACAACATCAATTGGACCACGGCGTGGATGCTCAACTCGAGCTGTGAGTTGTAAATGTTTTACTTGCGGATCTGCAAACGTTTCATCGACTCGATTGATTGGTCCACAAGCGATGCCCGCTTTATTCAATTCTTCAATCCAATACTGGCTTGGCTTTCCCATTAAAATAGTCTCCAGTTCATTATTTAATTTTTCTCGATTGAGTGAACGTTTCTTAGGTGTAAGATAATCACTACTCGATGCTAAGTCTTCGCGATCTAATATTTTGCATAAACGTTGAAATTCCAATTGAGTCGATGCCGCCAGCGTAATATGCCCATCAAGTGTATGAAATGTACCAGTTGGAATCGTAGTCGGGTGATGATTACCCGCTTGCGGCGGCACTTCGCCATCGATAAGATAACGGGCTGCTTGTAAATCTAACATAAAAATTTGTCCAGCAAGTAATGACGTCTCGATATATTGTCCTTGTCCTGACGAATGCCGTTCTAACAATGCAATTAAGATACCGTTGGCAAGAAGTAAACCAGTTGAAAGGTCAGCAATAGGAATGCCAGCACGAACTGGTCCTTGGCCTGGTAGACCTGTTATAGACATAAGACCAGCCATACCTAGAAACAGCGAACTATTTGTTATGTTTCCATTGAACTTTTCATGAAAATTAGAATACCTTGTATGACTTGATCGTAGCCAGGCCGATTCTTGTATGGACCTGTTTGACCAAAACCCGATAAAGAAGCATAGATTAATCGAGGATTGATTTGCTTTAGTGTTTCGTAATCAATCCCAAGACGAAATTTAACATCAGGTCGAAAACTTTCAATAAACACATCTGCTGTTTCGACAAGTTGTTTCAATATTTGTAGCCCATCCTTATCTTTGAGATTAATTGCTATGGAACGTTTGTTACGCTGTATATTTTGATAATCGGATCTGTCTGTTGCGTCATCGCCATCGGATTGATCTTTTGGTATTTCAACTTTAATCACTTGAGCGCCCCAATCACTTAATTGTCGAACAGCTGTTGGTCCTGCACGTACTCGTGAAAGATCCAAAATTTTATAAGCGCTTAACGGTTGCGTCGACATCGTTCACTTGTATTCGTGTGCAACGATGATTCACTGTCAGCGAACTTTTACTTTTTGATACGGCTTATTCATTCTAGTTCGAGGTAAATACGTGTATGCAATTATATATCACATGATAAGCAAAAATGTGCTTTTCTTTCCTTTCAATGCGTGTTGCCTTTCTTTTCTTCTCTTCTATTCAAAGGTTAGAATAGAATTCAATCCACACGATGAAACTTGCGTCGGTAATTCAAGTCATACAAAGATTAGATTCATTTGGATACTGATGACTACAAAAAAATAGGAAGATCAATTCTTGCAGAATAGATTTTGTCATCTGTTGATTCGTTATTGAAAAAATAGCTAATCTCAAGAGACATAATCAAAGAATTAATGATAGTATATCTTAACAAAAATAGGCCTTTCATGACTTCGTTTCTGCTGAACTGATTTTTGATTATCTCTTGTTGCTCGTAGCCTTTTATCTCTCATCTAATATCTCATTATTGAACTAGAAATAATATTACCTAGAAAAAAGTATATCTCCACTTCAATTGATATAACGTAATTGTTGCTTTGTACGCCTATCTATCTATATATATAGTAATCTTTATTAAGACAGAGAAGAAACAGAGCAATGGTGACTTTACAGTAAATTCAGAATAGAAATCAAAACGAGAATTCGTCATTCAAATAGATGAATCTTAGTGTATTTTTCCGACAGTTTATTTGTTGATGATAATTTCGTGGATTTGGATGCGGATGACAATGTAGAACAAGGTGATGACGACGAGTTTACTGTTGACAAACGAGTTATTGTAGCGGGTGACGAATTACTCGAATGATTTGATAGTACTCTTTGTTGATGTACAAATTTCACACATTTAACCGAGCGCATCTTCAAAAGACCTGCTATAAGAAGAATTATAATCAATAAAGCACCAGTAAGTAAGCCAATCATGATCAATGGCACAGAAAGAATTGTTTGATTTACACGAGTTAGCATTGTCTTCGGTATACATCGATTCTCTTGGCATAGATAACCTTTTGGACAAGTATTTTTGAAATTCTGATTATCACATTCAGTTAAGATCGGCAATTCACAACGGTAGTCATTACTCGATCGAATTCTCTGCGTACCCAATGGACATTGACAGTTGTCATCGATGATACCAGTCTGAAGTTGTTTTTGAGTATTGCATAATCGACGGCAACGTTCGGGTGTTAACGAACAATTCGATGTCAGTTCAGTATCGACACAGAAATGACCAAATTTTTCAATAAGATGTGAACGACATTGACACGTTTGAGATGTCATTGAACATTCATATAATTGAGAATGAGAACATGCATGAGAACATTTCGAACCAATTGTTTGTTCGAATTCAATGCGAAGATGGAATGAATGCTCAACGAGAATCTCACCGTCGGAAATCAAACGACAATTCTGCAGAGCAACGATAGATTGTTTGAAATAAGCACCATGTAATGGTGATGGCTTCGACGATGACGATGAATAGTCTTGGAAAGAAAGAGGTACAGTGGTTGTACGAGTCGGTTCAGTCCGACGCATAGATAAATCTGACTAGAATGAAAAGACAAATAGATGAAATTGTAAACGTCATCAATTGTTCTTACACGAGTATCTACAATCGTGAATTCACAGTTATCTGGTGTGTAAATTTGCTCGCTTTCTGAACATTGAAAAAGCAATGGAACAGGTACTAGATAAGTATCTGCAAATGAATAAATAATACCGATGGATAATGATTGATTGAGAGTGGTGAAAGATTGATTTGACAAAGAATATAATGGTCGGACTGTCAGTAGAGTTTGGTCTTGGTTCAGTTCAAATATATTCGGATAATTTTCATAGAAACTTTCTGCAAATCGACAATTCTTTCCGATTTTGCCATGAGATATCGGTAAGTAAAATATCAGCAGAGCAAACGCACAGAGCAATCGTCGCATGATGTTTGTTCACTGAGTTGAATTAGTCAAATATTTTCCTTCTTCTTCTTCTTCTCTTTTTCGTCGCACATAAATACAAACAATAATCGAACGTCCTTGCCGTTGACTGAATAGAATTTCGATGTTCAATACGTTGTTTACTCTTCTACTTGAATATCCATATGTGAGAGTAGCTGCCGCTCATTCAATCCGGATGTTATTTCTCTCGAATAGTGATCAAGAAGAATTGAACGAAAAAGAGAAGAGAGTGAGAGAAGAAGAAGAAAAAGCCGATCAACACGGCGAGACTAGATATATAAGAAAGAATATATTAGCATAGAAAAACGAACAGTGAGACAAAGCATGCAACAAGATTAGACAACTAAAAATAAATGAAGATGAAGAAAGAACCTTTTTTTTATACATTCTTTGAATAATAAGATGGTCATCAATAAGGAACGATAACAAACCTTAAAAGTTTGTTTTTGTTATTATTATCAAACGGTTAAATCAACGTTCGTTGTCTATTGTTCATTAAAATCGATCGATTGTTGTTTACCTGCCATATACGTATGTATATAAATATATTGATGAAGACGAAAAAAAGTCATTTACTATATGTCAATGAAATAATTTCTTTGATAAGTTTACTTCTAGTCTTAGCATGGTGAAGTGGACAGCCACTTAAATATCCTTGAAAATCAATAGGCCAAGAGCACTTTGACTGATAGACAAAGAGAGGTAGAGAAGAAGAAAAATGTATAGTAACGCCTTATCGGTATCGAATGTTCAAGGATAACCCCTATTCAAAGAATATTTCTGGAAGCATCTTGCTTATTTCTTTTCATTGAAGAAGAAAAATTCAACATCAACACTATTTAAACAATTAGGACGAAAATCCATCATCATTGCCATCGATCTTTCTGACAGTTTAGCTCGAAAGGCAGAACCTTTGAGAAATATTTGTCACCATTTGTATATGGCAAAGTAATTATCCTTGTAGCGAGAATTGTATGTATGCGTCCTATACATTCGCTATCTATCCATCTGTAGATATTAGTAATGTATAAATAGTATGGCAATGAAATGTAATATTTCACGAAGATTTGTTGATATTTTTCACGAGAATCGACAAGAGAGAAAAGAACGAATAATTTATGAGAACAAGTAAAAACTAAGGAAAATAGAAACAACAACACTGATATAAACAATGCAAAGACGAAAATTGGTCTCTTCTTAAATAGTTTCTGATGTTGAAAAATGTCTCGAAAGACGCGCAGCTTGACGTTGATTTTCCTTAGGCCGGAGAAGAGGATCATGGAAATTCCATGTTAACGTTCGAACACTTTTAGCCGCAGGTGTCGGGGACGCATTGAACGACGTGGCCGGAGTCAAAGTCGAGCCTGTTGATGTTGTTTTATTTACTAACGTTGCCTTAAGTAATTGCTTTTGACGTCGCCGTTCAAAATTTGAATGATAATGTGATGTTTTATAAGCTGCATGGTTCTTTCTATTGGCATCTAACATCGAATCTTGTTCTTTCGCATCTGACACACGTCGTTCGAGTGTACCAAGACATGATGGTGCCGCACAACAAAAACATATATGTTTATACAAAAAGAGAATAGCTGAGCCAATGGTGCAATAAAATAATCGAGTGCATATCGTTTTGAAGTCCGAACGAAAGCGTCTGGATGTGGCCATATAAAGTAGAAAATTGACTGCATGGTTCGCTTCTCGCATAGCTTTCTCGAAAATTGTCAAGTATGGATGGAAGACACCCATACACACTTGAACGTTCTCGTACAGATTTCGCGTGAAATGACATTGGGGATAATTATAGAATAGATACGTTATGCACCAGTGTATATAGAACGGACCGAGGAGAAGGAGAAAAGCAAACGATGCTACGAAGAGCATAACTGTTGTGCCTCGCTTATCCATTAAACTAAATAAACAATGAAATCAAACAAAAACAATTCTCTGTTATTCTTTATGTCAGTTAGATCAACTCTCGATGACATCGAATAATAATTTCAAATTAATACACAATGATGCTTACTTGGTCGTGAAATTCTTCGCTGTTCCATCATCGTCTTTAATTTTGAAACGTTTACTGGAATTTTTCAATTCAAAGATGATGATTAAATTACTTATGGATATTCCACAGAACGGGATCAATGCATATGAGACAACTGTGAAGAATCCGCGAAAGATTTGATATCGATGAGCGTGTAACGTATCGAATGCTTCACAGTGTAAGGAACCGCTTGTATAGAATATGAAATCGAATGGAATTGGGACAATGTAGAGTAACATCATACATGCGAGAAATGGTAAACGAAATTTATTGAATATATATCGACATAGGGGATATTTAATAACAATGCAACGTTCGATGGCAATCAATAATAACGTTGTCGATGAACATTGCCGAAAATAGAGAAAAAATATTCCAAACATTTTACAAAATGGTGGCGATGCTTTTAAATAGGTCATAAAGTTTCGAAAGAGTAATGCAAATATACTCGATGCTAAACTTAAAAGATCAAAACATGTTAATGCGAGAAATAACGTAAATGAGGATGATCGTCTTAGAGAGCCGCACATGAGAACGAGGAAAACAAATGTATTAAAGATAATACCAATAACAACAATCGAATATGTAAACTTAGCTAATTGATTCGACGATAAACTTCGAAAATCATCGTAACGTTGGCAAAATAATGTTTGGTTATTAAGAAAATCGTGATCAGTTGCCATCTCGTCCGCTCGAAACAATCGACGATGATCAATGGCTTGATTACCACCATCGAATAGAAATGTCCCGGATGATGTGTCATTTGATACATAAATACTATGACTGGATATCGACGAATATGATCTGGCGTCGCACATCGTTTGATTAACTTGTAAACAGCAACCGGCGTTCCAGTGAGGCTTGTGTAGAGATAAATTGAGTGAGAACGTTAATGTATAATCAGTCAGAAGATAGAGATTGAGGTTGGATGGTGATGGAAGTTTTGTCGCAAGTGTTACGGGAAAGAGAAATGGTAATAATAAGACGAAGAGACTTAGTTTAGGAGAGAAGACTTGTTTCGTTTTGACTTCGATGAGATGCCGTTCGGAAATGTACGAACGTAAGTGTTCAGTCGAAAGAATGAAATCGAGAAAGAGTTCAAACTTTTGCACGACAATTATCCAAGGAATTGACCGGTGATGAATTTGAACGAATTTGTCGAGTAAATATTGATGAAGCATGGCCAGTTTGAATTGCATGAGATGGAATGGAACATTCACATGTGAACGAACATAAGTAAGAACCGCAACAACGGAAATAAGCAAGAAATTGTTTGGAACGTGATGATCGAGTATTATTGATGGTTTGTTCATTTCTTTGCTGTTGACGATGAACTTTCTCATATTTCAAGGATTGATGATATTGGCAAAGATTGTTACAAATGGATGACGATGAAGCATGATTATGAAACGAAGAACTTGAAAGAATTGGTGCTGATATTGTTGAATATGTAAATGGTGTTGTCGTACGATTAGCCCTGCTTAATGATGAAATTTGAGATTTTCTTTTAATCGTGAACATGATGAGTGACTATAAACGACAACGAGACAAGAACAACAACGGATGTGATGACACAATAAAACGAATACCAATTCAACGAGACGACTGAATTAATCACTAAAGGAAATTTAAAAAGAAAACAATGTTATACACAATAATCAATCGGCTATTTTGTCTCTTGTCTTCTTCATTTTAATAGAACTGTCTTGTTTCCATTCCTTAGACATACAACTTAATAGAAATAATGACGCCGTCATGTTTTTGTCGACGCACGTGCGAATCTTACAATAGAGAAAAAAAGGAGATGTTATCACTAGTGTTCCGATCTATGAAACATCGAAACACAAATGATAATATTTAGAATTAATAATCTATCTCATTTGTGTTGCTTAGTCAATTATTCTTAAGAGAATGTTTCGAATATGCTTTTAGATCAATTCGAAACTTTGATGCATTAATCTAATAGTATTATCATTACTGTTATTGTAATGTTATAAAGAAAAGTACTTTATTTAACAACTGCGCACAAGAAAAGTCTCAAACGTTTAGAAACTACGCCAAAGAAAAGCTGGATGCGTTAAATTATCCGACTTACTTTGAAAGATCTGACTATCTCTTAGGCTGAAAGGCATGCTACTTGGACATACATTGTGCTAATATCAGCATGAAACGAACAAGCGAGAGTGAGAGAGAAAGAATTGGATCTCGAACTGGCGGTATTTGCGAAATTGGTAGATGGCCTGCGGCATATACATAGACAATTTTATAGATAAGCTGAATAAGCAATCAAACATCTGCATGTTTGCATAAGTTGAAGCAAAAAACAAGGGCAAGGATATAGAAGAAACGTAAGTCGGATTAACATCACACATTGCAAAGCCTTCAGGTAGAAAGACAAACCTTTTTTTCTCGCCTTTTCTTATATAAACGATTATATATTTATCCTCAAACGAGCAAAGCTAACTATCCGATTAATCGGAATTTCTTAAGGCTTCCTCAAATCGATCGAGGAATTGTTATTACTGCTTAGACGTTGTTTTCAATCGGAAGCTATTGAAGTGAAGCAATAGTAGAGTAAATATTGATCAAATTGTAATTGCACGAACTTACGACTGACGAACATTCATCTCCTAATGATTACGAGTGGAATATGGCACTATTTTCTCATAGTTTTTTAAACATGAAACACATTAGAGGAGACAATCGATAAATGAGAAGAAAGTGCTTAAGGAATCATACTTACTTTTCTCGGTTCTTCGTTAATTAATATGATATGCAGCTTTGAAAATTGACTCTAATACGACGATGATCGATACGCAGTTCTAAGACGTGACGAATATAGAAAATGATGTATGTTTGAGGGTTTTTTTTTCTTTTCTTCGTCTCTGTTGATTTCCGTTTGACGTCAAACTGAGATGTTTATATATAGATGATATATCTCTTCATTTCATCAGATGATTAATAGAAAAATTTTCGTTTTTTTCTTCTTTAACCACGAGAATTCCAATAATATATGTATATCGCTATGAATATATAAAATTTGATCACGACGAGATTTTGTTTTTCTCTTCGATTCTATTTACCAGAAAAACAAACGATTTCCGAGCACCAATGCCGCGATAGGGGTATAGTATATTTAAGTAGTACTTTTCTGATAATAATGACAATGGAACACAGTACTCATATTAGCAATACAAGCTTGAGGCAATCGAGAACAACGAGTTAGAGATAGAAAGGAAGAGAGGGAGAGAGAGAAGCCGATGATTTTGTAGGAATAAGTAACCATGCTGGGTATGCATTTGGAAGCAAGGGGAGAGAGAGAGAGAGAGGCGGAGAAGGAAGACGCAGAGAGAAAAAAAGACGGGATTATAGAACGAGAAAAGTTTAGTGTTCAGTAGATGGATGAGTGATTGATTGGCAAGATAAAATAACCTGTGACAATCATTTATTTAGTTAAATGATATTTAGAAAACAGGAAACGAAGTAGAGTAACGAAATGCATTCTATTTGTGTCATTTGTTTCATTTCTAAAGCGAAACCAATTACCTGCTAGACGCCTCCTCTTCATTTTCCCTGCTGATTCTCGTTTTTGTTCTCTCTTTTAGTTTTGCATTATCACAGGAAATCAAATCAATGTCATAAAATTTCATTTCCTTTGTTATTTGCTTGTAGGACAAAACGACTGGAATGTAATCCAGGAGAAAAACTGCCCGATTGTGTCAGACAACGGAAAATTACGATTATTAAAATAGAAACAGAACTAGTACAACGTGAAACGAAGAAGAAAAGGAGAAAGTCGCTTTGTCCTTTGTGATTATCACAACGATACATCTTCGAATACTGTGGCATTTCTTTCAATTAACCACAGCAATCTTTACATATCTGATAGACATTGACAGCGCAACATATATATATATTCATCGGCATGCACTCTGCCATTATTCTTCTAATCGATCACTTTTCTTAGGGTAGCTTGTCGTCTAAGTAATATAGAAAGAATAAAATCAAATTTGTGTCATCTTCAACTGAAATGAAGAGCTTAAAAACTTTCAAGTATACTTAGGGAGAACTTTTTTTTTTCTATGTACTTTGTCTAGATTCACATTAATAGCACTTACATGTTACAAAGATTTTCTATTTTTGACAATGTTTGATATGGGAGGCAGTTGATTTCATACATTATGATCATATTCCACATCCACCATTTGCTTCGTTTTCAGGAATGTACAATCTGTTGCAAATGATGAAAAAAAAGGAAGCTAGGAAGAATAAGAACGACGAAAAGAATAAAGAGAAGATATTAGTGCTTGTATACACGATTATATAGCCATCTCCATTGTGACATCAACAGTTGACGACTGTGTACATACATATGTATCATTGGAGATGGTTGCACAGATGAATGAGAATGATAGAGAGACAAAAAAAGGCATAGTTATACATGAAACGATACAAGTATCCAAAGATAATGAAGTACCACAACAGACAACGAAACAAGAAAAGGTTATTACTCGTTTTTTTTTCTATATCTGTTTTGTTCTGGTGTATAACAGTTTTTCCTTGACTTGATGCATACCAAAGATTGCATGTGGGCGTGCACATATATCAAACCTAACGACATGTCGCATGTTCATTTAACGATTCATCCATACTCTAGAGCTAAGTCACTCCATTAGTTCGTTTTGTTTTTAATGAAATATATAATAAATTTTAGGTTTTTAATCAATACAAATAATCATTTATTTGAATACGTAAATATACATGTCGTACGCTGATGGATGAGTCTATTCTGTATTTAAATGAAAACTTATGCAAATACAAGTATGAATGTCAACAGGCGTTCTTCTTGTCGAAGGTCAAAGAAAATCACTCGATAATCTATTCGGGAAAACTTTTTCACATAGAGAACAATATGAACTCATTGTAGCCGTAATTCTCTCATCGATGCATATATAAATCAATCCGAACGGGGTGCTGAACTGGATGAATAAACAATAGTGATAATATTCTTGATATTAGCAATTATCTCATCACATATAAGCACATCAGTTTGACATTATGTAAAATGAGATAATCGAAAAGTTCGAGGAACAAAAGACAAGTAATTGAGAAATGTTATGATCACTCTGACTGAGTGACTTTCCAGCATAATGACATTTGTCAAACATCGTCAATATGTTGTTGCTTGTCAATGTGTGGGCATCAATACGAAAAACACTCGGCATACATTTTATTAGATCAAAATAACATTCACCGAACATATCAAATCCAGAACAAGACGAAGAAGAAAAGATTAATGATGAATTCCTGTCGAGAAAAATAACAACAACAACGCATCAAAAACTATGTAATTTAATTAATAGATCATTGTTACATCTTCACTGCGCTTAAAATTTCATTATCACATTTGTTTATTTCCTTTTCATATGCTACACAGATCGATGCTTATCTTGTTATTCGACTAATATAATCGACATTGCAAGGTACTACAACCGAGATGTATCAACAGCTTGAACTAACACAGGTCAAGTCTTTGCATAGAAAGTATTTCAATTAGATGTTCGACAAGATATATTCGAGGTTTATCAGGTAAAATCTGACTATGTGAAGGCCGAACATACGCCATCGCTCTCGTGACAAATTCTTATTGTTACTAGATGTTACTTAGATTGCACTCTATCAATGTTTCATTAGAGAATGCATATTTGACAGATTGACAAACTGAAGCATTGGTTTTAGGGTAACCTCGACACGCTAAAAAGTAATTGTAAGATACGAAGTCAATCATGACGATGTCTGTGTCTGATTTTTCTTGAAATAGTAAAGTTGTAAATATGCAAGACAATGTGTGAACTATAAATTGCATCAATGCTTCTCGTAAACAACATTTTGTTTTCCTCGATCGAAGAAATCGTGCTAGGTTTGCGTATTAAATAGATTTCTCTATTGTTGTTTCTCGCATGGAAAACAAAATTTTCTGTCCGATTTGATTTTCGTGCATAAATATCAATTCAATAGAGAATGTAAGAACAATTACTTGGAGCGTGGGTCAACTTGTTCGCACTAATCCGGCAAGAACAATGTTTATTGTCATATGAATAGATTTTTCGAACATTAATATAAAACGATTATTTCTGAACGATAAAGCATCGCTGCATTTTTTCATGATGCATTAGACATATGAATACCAAAAAAGAAGTAGCTGCCTGAAATAGACTAATATAGACGTAAAAAAATCGTTTATGAGATATATCGAGAAGAAGATTGGATGTAAACATTAACCATATGGAATAAAGATAAATCAACGATGGTTATATAACATTCTAAATCATATGACCGAGTTCGTTTCCGTCATAGTCAAGATTCAAATCATTTGTATAAAAGTGTATTACAATTAGACGCATACAAATAACTCACATAACCTCCTATGGTTATTGTAAATGGGTATGAATAACATTAAGTATAACTGTCTATAGTCTTGGTAGAACAATGTTTGATTCGAAGGCCTGCTGAGACTAACACAAATGTTTATAATGTTCTTAATATATCTTCTTGAAACAATGACCTACAAGTTTAGATATATGATCATCGAAATGCATTAGTAATCTATACAATTTATGGATCAAAGCTTTTGTTGGTCACATTTGCTCGTGATAACAATATTCATTGTTAATTAACTTTCATCCTTGAATGGAATCATACTTGAAGTTTCGTTAAATCGATTCTTATAATATTCAAGGTAAGGCGGGTGGAACTAAAAACGCTACCCAGTGATTGATCGATTTCTCGGATGATTTTATCAACGAAAGTTTTATCTAATAATAACAAAAGCTTTTTTAAATGAATATAAAAACAGTTTTTACATAATAACTATCATAAATATCACAAGTATGTTTAGATGTCGCTAATCGGTTGTGTAATTGAGCATATGACTCATCGCACCAAAAACCATCTCGTGTAGTAAAAAATGTTCGCTTCTGTTGATCGTCGCCTTCTCTACGGTCTATTAGTGTCTGGCAGTTGTATTATTATTGGTAGTATCAGTTGGTATTACAGTAATCGGAAAAGTCAGTAGTTTTATTTTCGTTGGAAAAATCTACGCACGTGTGCTTTGTTTTCAGAAGGACAGATCCGTTCAAATCGTTCAGAATATCTTGTACTCGAAGTACGAGTTCCTGTCTATTGCGTTGGAAGTATAATTGGTAAAGGTGGTGAAGCGATAAAACGAGTAAGAAAAAGTTGAATTACGAAAGATAACACTTCTTTCGTTTGTTTCAGTTTCAACAACAGTTTTCTGTTCGTTGTGTATTTGCTAAAGATGATGAAAAAAGTTTGGATGATAACTATCGAATCTTGATCATTCGAGGTCAACAACATCATGTCTATGAAGCCGAAGTGGAAATACGTCGAATGATTGCAGATTTACCACAGTATGAACACATCGAAATGTTCATACCGGAAAATGCTTGTGGATATTTGATTGGACGAAATGGTGCGACCATAAAAAATATTCGGGATACTTCGAAAGCACGTCTTAATATGGACAAGAAAATTATTGATAACGTCGAAAAGAAAAATTTTTCACGGCTCATTATATCAGGCACCAGTGAACAAATTGCAGCAGCTAAAGTAAGACATGAATTTGAATATCATGGAAAATCGTACCGAATATTTTGTGCCTGTTTCAAGGCGCTCGTCGAAGAACGACTCCAAAATTTCGAACAAAAGCAGCAAGAACGTGAAAATAGATCTGATATAAAACCGGTATGAGTACTACACCGTTGTTGATTTTCTTCCTTTACCATCATTTTTTTCTATGCTCTTAACGTGAAGGACACTAATCGTTCTACACTACTGAGCACTGTTACGTCTTGAGATACGTGCGTAGTGATTGCAAATGATAGCTATCGAATCATTAAAAAAAATTTATTCATATCTCCTTTTGTTTTAGAGTTTTATTTCCAATGATGAAGATATTCTCGAAGATGAAGATTAGTCTGACTTTTTCTTGTCACTTTCATATCGTTTTGTTTACTTTGTTACCTGTTTTCTAGATAGCATGTCTCTAGATTTAGATCTTGATCAGTTTCATGATCATTTGAACGGTACTCACATAAGCATCGATGACATGGATAGTGAAGATATTGAAATGGCAATGCATGCGCGAAACAACGGGCCGAATCAAGCAGAACGACGAGCACACCATAACGCTTTAGAAAGAAAGCGACGTGATCATATCAAAGGCAGTTTCGGTGATCTACGTGATGTAATTCCATCACTCAAAGGAGAAAAGGTAATGTTCTCTGAAAACGATTTGATTCCGTGGACGGACAATTCATCGCTGAATTAATTGATTGTAACAAGATTACGAAAATATACAGGGTGAGGGTGAGGGTGTATGGTTAGTTTTTCATAAAAGACGCTCTACGTAAGGAATTTCGAACACTTAATAGATAGTAACGACAACTATTCGTATTGTAGTATTATACAATGGAGTAGCAATACTTGCTGAAAAGTTGGTCTATCGGAAAAATGATAATTGAGAGATGATCGCGATTTCATAAGAAAAACTTCTCTAGTGCCAGTAATAAAAGTCAACACAAAATTTGAAAGAAAATGAATATTTATTAAATAAACTATTACAAAACCCATGAACATGTTCGTGGATTAGTTTCTCAGAGTCAAAGACTAGTTGAACTTTTATGTGATCAATAATGCTGACAACCGTTTAATAAGTCAAAGAAAATCGAACTTTGCTTGATGCGCGATAAAATAATGTTTTACTTTTTGGCTCTTTGATAATATCGTATCTTATATCGTTTCAAATTTGTTCAGATTTTTTGTTAGAAATATCAAAAGAACACTAGGTTTCGTTTCACATTACCAAAAGGATCATTGACGAAAGTGTAGTTTTCGTATTCATTATAGTATACATAGGCGACGAATTGTCCGTGTGTCAGACGATTCACACAGACTGAGCTTTTGAATCCTATTCGAATGATTTCAGGCATCTCGTGCTCACGTTCTCAAATCAGCAACTGAATACATTCGTACTATAAAGAGCAAAAACCAGCGTAATCAAACGAGTATCGATGAACTAAAACGACAAAATGCGGCTATTGAACTGCAAGGTAAAACGAAGATGTTTTTCTGATATATCTTTAATTCTTGTCTCTTTTCAGTACGCCTACTCGAACGTGTCAAAGAAACTAGCCAATATACCCGACAAATTCAGAACCATCAACAAGAACAGCAACGAGTTAACCATGATTTGGATTTTAATGGGATTCAAACAACGATAAATTTACTAACAAACGAAAATTCATCTTCTTAATTCTAAGAGTGACGAAAAAACTGTTTTGAAAATATTTTCACGTCAAGAGTCAGAAAATGTTTGCTTTTATATGTGTGTACACTGATATTTCTAGGTTTTAATATAAATATTAATTTCTTTGTTTAAATATTATCTTTCGATGTCGGCACATTTCTTTTTTTTGTTTTGTGAAGTAATAAAAAATGAAAAATCTTTTTCATCGAAATAACTGATAAAATCCGCACAGGAGTAGATAGCGGCATTATGGTACACCTGAAGTCATGTATTTGCCATTTTATTCTTTCGCAATGCGTCATCCCCAAACACTTATCTGTTAAGACTATTATTATATAGCAAACATTTCGCAGAGGATACAAAGTATACTTTTATACTCATCGTCATTTCATTCTCTTGTTTCTCTTCGCACGACAATATTCAAGAAGAATATGTCTGACGAACGCTCCAGAGAATTTCATCATCGTCCACCACCGTTAACTTACGCTCGATATCGAACAATGCAACCTATACGAATACAAGCTGAAATTACGCATGAGCCAGTACTGCAAAGAGTGGTCAAACGCAACCGAACACTGTCTTTAACATCTGCTGATGAATCTATGACAATAACACAACCTAGAATTGATGTCACTGAATTAGTCAAACAAATTGAGATACGAAATTCTAAGGACAACAGTATGTTTTTATCGATCACAAGATTGGAATTGCACAAGTCTCGTTGATTTTAGTTCAACCCCCGATAATTAAACCAAAGCCTATCGTTAAGCATTTGCCTTCTACAGGAATATTAGATTTTTCTAAAAAGTCAGCAACTAAAACACCAGCGGGTAGAACTTCGCCAACGTCGTTGATGAAACAATGTTCAGTAGAATCCGATACGCAAACAATTAAGAGTCCTGTAACTATGATTATCGATTACGAAGCTGTTCCATCAAAATTTTGTTTTATTTTCAAGGATTCGCCGGATAGTCATCTCGCCGATAGCTGTAATCCAATCCAATCAGAACCACAGCCTTCATATGTACTTTCTCACAAGGATAATACCAATGATGATTTTGATAAATCGTTGAGTTCAATCGATGATCCTTCGGATCTGTCTTCCTGTGACGAAGATGAAGATTGTATAAAAGAAAAGGTTCGTGTTACTCTTTATCGCCATCGCAAAACATGTAATATGATATTTATCTAGGAGAACATCCCTAAAGAAAGTTATAATGAAGTATATGCAACTGAACGAACTTATATTGAAAAACTGCATGTTCTCTGCTACGTTGTTCCGAGGAAAATTGAAGAAATCTGTATGGAAGAAAAGACGTTCCTACGGCGATTCAAGAATGTATACAGACCATTGAAGATTATATTAAAACAAATATACAAGTTTCATCTTCGAGCCATTCTACCACATTTTGAACGATACAGATCGAGCAATTACGCGGATTACCTATGGTCTGTTCTAGAGCACAATTACCAGACAATCGAAAGTTTATATAAAACATATTATTTAACATACGAGGAAAATCAGCGAAAACTAAGTGATTTGTGTAAACCTGGTTCTTTCTTAGACCGAGCAATGCTACAATGTCAAGTGTATCTGGGAAATTTATACCCACTTACAGAACTAAATTGTGCTAATCAACGTTTATTGGGGTGAGTCATTAGTGATATTGAAACTTGTTTTTAAATCGCACATTTCAAGATCGAAACATATGAACACTTTATTTTAGGTATATTCTACTCATGGACAATCATTTGAAACGTCTAAATGCAAATTCTGCGGTATATGAACATATATCTTCTATACGCGATGGACTTCGACAGATTGCCGTGCGATGTGAAGATGAACTAACAGTGTCCGAAAGACAGATAAGGAAACTAAAAGCACGATTCGATAGTAAACTCGATTACTTCAAACAACAACGACTTCTCTGGCATGGCGTGCTGAAACGGCGATCTCCACGTCGGCGAATAGGTGTTGACCAATGCTATCTACTTCTATTCTCGAAATCTTTGCTTGTTTGCGAAGAATCAGGCGAGAAACTTGAATTCAAACGACATTTATCACTGGAAAACTTAACAATTGATATTCTGGAGCCCGAACAAGTAGTATCAAATACATTGAATCCCATCAATCAACGCTATTTGAATGTGACCATTTATCCTTTTCGGGTGAAAGCTATCGAAAAATGTTATGAGTTTCTCACCGATAAAGAGCCTAACAGACAAAAATGGATCGGTTACATAACGAAAGCAAGCGAAAAACTGCTCAAAAGAAGTCGGATGCTTCCAGGTAAAGTATAAATCATTTTCGAATAACTCGAGTATCATTATTTCATTCTTCTAGTTTCGTATTCCTCCAGTCAAGAAGAGTTCGGTATGCGTGCGCCTATTTGGGTGAATGATAATGACGTAAAACGTTGTCAAATATGCCATGAGCGTTTTGGTTTTACATTGATACCTTCCCGTCATCATTGTCGTTCATGTGGACGATGTATTTGTGCATCCTGTTCGACCAAGAAACTCGTTTTGAAATATTGTGCTAGCAAAGGTCCGGCACGCGTCTGCGATACATGTTTTACTTATGCGACTGGCACAACGAAAAATACCGTGTCGCCAACAAAACGACTTCGTGATCCCGATCGAACGATTCTTTTCGGCGATTTTGAAAATGTGCCAACAAGTGTTATTGTTTGGATTGATTTACAAGAAGATCATTATCTCTATATCTATGATGCAAAATTAGATCAGGTCGAAGAATTTTCAATCAATCTCACTGAACTTTCTGAGATGTCAAAGAATGAGGAAACTTGCACATTGATATTGAATCACAATGAGAAAGTGTACAGATTTGCTTTAAGACCAAATCATCAACTTACGATGATCGAAAATGATCAAATTAATAAGAGTAAGATGGATTCTAACAATATATCTTCGTTTTATGTTAAACTGTGGTATGAAGCAATACAATTAGCACGCTCTGCAACAGTGCCGACGTGGTACGAGCGAAAACGTCATTCAGCTGACAGTGGAATAGTTGCTAATTAAAAATTTTTGGATCTATTTTACTGTAGTGTCTATATATAGTTTAATTTCATTATCTTTTATCTTAAAAAAAGATACGTCTCTAATTAAGGGAAAAGGCATTGTTTTTAAATTCCACCTTGAAGATATCGTTGAAATTCCGTTCGATTTAATCGTCCGTCACGATTAGTGTCAGCAACAGCAAATCTAGCTGCAGCTGTGTCTAATCGATTGCTACCAATACCAACGCTCTCAGACAAAGCACTTTCATTAACGAAATTCGATGATAAAGATGATGCGTAGCTTGGACTAACGTTTGTACTGGCGTCCAAGTTGTAGATATTTGCTTCGAGATCGCCAACTACTTGAAGTCCATCGAAAGTATTGGAAGTTGATGGCGATAATGATGAAAAGCGTTGAGCTTGTGTCACATTAGGAAAACGACCAGCCACTGTGGCAATTTCATTTGTATCTGCCGCCAATACAGCAGATGAAGTAAATTGAGTCGAAGATGTTGCTGCTGGAGGAGACTGAAACAGTTAGAAGTTCCAATGATTAACTACAAGAATTTTTTTAATATTTCAAAAATTACTAAATCTTCAACAACACCAGCATTGCGTGCTTGCTGAATAAGTTGACTGGCATCTAAAAGACTTGCCCCATAGCGAGCAACATAGGCCTGAGGATCTTCTCGAGTTACACCAAGTCGTTCAAATCGGCGAACTACACGCGTTTGTACATCATCATAAATTACGATGATATTACGTGGTTGCGGATATTGAATCGGAGGAGGTGCGCGTTGAACGATCGTACGGCGCTTGCCAAACGGTCCATAAGGAATCCATCGTTCAATGATAATATCGCCTGAAAATGAAAAGATAAGCAGCTATTTGTCCAAAAAGTAGCAGTTCATTTCGTTTACGTGGTTTCTGTGGTGCTGGTGGAAGACGCTCGATAACCACAGATCGAGGTGGAATAGGTAAAGGTTTGAGATGACGTACAACTAGAAATCAATGAAGATCACTGAAGAGTCTGTTTGGTATTGGCTCATTTACCTGTTTCGCTACCTACAGATGCAGGTATCTCTGGTGGACGCTCGCGCAAGATCAATGGAGGCGGTGCTGGAAGCGGAGGTGCACGTTGTCGGACGATTAACGGTGGGGGTGGAGGTGGCTGTTGTGGGCGTACTTCTTTGATAATCAGCGGCTAAAATACGATATATTTTTGTATTGTTTCTTATGTAGTTTCAATTCAATTACGCCTGGTGGTGGAACGGGTGGCGGTTGTAAAAATCGAACAAAAATCTTTTGTTGATAAACTATGGGTCCTTCAGGTGCTGCTCGTCGAATAATTTCTGGATTTGGATCATTGTAGACACCCGTTGACATACGTGTAAGATATTCATTTGTTTCTTGTGTACTACTAGTTTCAATCGTTGCCTTACTGGCTCGTTCATTAGTCCCTACTGTTACTGAAGCTGTATATACATTCTTATTGTTGTTTCTACCAGCAGTCGAATCGGCAACATTTTGTGAACTCGCGTCATATTCACTTAGTTTAGTTTTGTCATCAGAATCATTGTTCACAACGATTCCATTGATCGATGTGTCTTGTGACGATGAAGGAGACGTCAAGGCACTGGCTGAAAGCCAATTTTGAAATTCATCTCGATCGATTCTAAGTCAAACATTTCAAAAATATTTCATATAAGCAAAATAAAAATCCATACTTTCCATCTTGATTGACATCAACTCGCGTGAAGATCGCTTTGGCTGCATCAAATTTTGCCATCGTTTCCGATGGATGGTAAAAATAAGATAGAAATGAATTTTCAGATAGAAAGACAAGTAATGATCGCCAATTTATATGTCTGTCATTAAGATAAAAAATGTTCAATCAAGCATGAATGACATTGAACATGCATATAAACATAACACGTTAATTTCATAACATTAAAGTATCCTTGGACGTTTTCCGTTCGTTTGAAAAAATGATCAATCAAAAAAATATTCGAAGTCTGAATAAAACAAATAAGAAGAGAAGAATGAGAAATTGTCTCTAATATCGTCGCGTCGTTCGTATTGATATTTAATGAAGGTTATGTGTTCACAACCCTGAGACTATTGTAAGAAGGCGAACAGCATTCATTAGGTCAAACGAAGGAAAATTAGTCCATTAAAACTTTCAGAAGAAAGATAAAAATAAGAATGCCATGGCCAATGATTGAATTAGTGGTTTCATTTCCAGTAATATCACATATCGACCCTTTTACTTTATCGAGATGATAAATATCGAAGAAATCGGTTAGGTTCACTTGAACACGAAAGAATTTTATATTATTTTGCGTTTATGACAGATTAATAGACGATACAGTCAACAAGTGACTACATTAGATGTCTATCTTTCGTAATATACTTCAGTCTGAATATAATTTTTTTAAAATGTTCATATCAACGACAGTTATCAATTACATTGGCCATAAACCTTGTGAATAAATAAAATTAATATGACATGTCGATAATTACGCAGTCAGTTACATATTCGTCATTCCAGATGTCTTTGCGTAAGAAATGTAGATCAAATTTGAACGCTTAATTCATATAACGAAAGAAACATGACACTGACCAAGACAATAGTGACATCTGTTCTGTCTCTATAATTTGTCGAGCTTAGTAGTCACCAAGACAACGGTAACATTGATGAGTAGTACAAAGAGAAAGAAGAAATTGAGATTGAATCATTGAGCGAACGACTCGAACGAAATGTCCACCTATGCTCAACCAACAGTGCTCTCCAGATCAGGTGTATTTCACCGTTTAGGATCTCTTTTAACTGATGTATCTAGTATAAACTCACTCGAATATCAAATTCCCTTTTCGACTGATCAAACAATCAACAATGATATCATTGATTTTGAAACATCTTTTGCGCAATTATCATACCGACAAGATCTATCAACTATTGAACATGTACATATTCGCTGTCGGCCAGCATCTTCATTTGATCCATCGATTCACACGAGTCTATGTGAAGTCGTACTTGGCCTATATCCTGACACGAATCTATCAGCATCATCGTCGTCTGCTAGTGAACAACCTGTCATTGTACGTGGAGTGATCGAACGACGCCATCGTCGAATTAAGGTAGGCGATTGGTTGTTAGCAATCAATGGCAATCGTGTGGATTGCTTGAATCTCAACGATATTTTATCGAAATATTCTTCTACTCGCAAAGTACGTCTCACCGTTCGTCATCCCGAAATTTTCAATTCGAAATTTTCCTTGTTGCCACCACCACCGACCATTTTGTCACCAGTCGAAGAAAAAAAACTGTCTCTACCGGAACAAATCGAATGCATACACTCGATACTTTATTATCAAAAGAAGCCAAATGAAGGCTTCGAATTATTATTTCAACATCCTTCGCAAAAAGATATTTTCTTTGCCGTCGGATGTGTTTTTCCGACACTATTACAAGTTATGCATGATATGAATGAACAGGATAGTCTACTTCGCAGGTAAATACACAGAATGACAATAACATCAACAATCCCTGTGTAATTTTAGTGTATCTATCAAATTATCCGAACAACTTGTGCCCGTATGTATTGCAAGTGATGATAATGTTTACTATCTGATAATTATTTATCCTCCGATCGAAAATCTACATATTTGTTTACTTGAGCAACACACTGGACAAATGATCCGTTTGATAAACTTCTTATTTGGTTCGATTTACGATGGGTTGTTCATGTATACCGAATCGATTCAATACTTTTTTGATATATTTTTCTATCGATTAAATCATCTTCTGTCATCATCAGCAAATTCATCTCCAGTATTGAAAAATCTTCGTTTAATCGATGAATTTTTACCTGCACAATTCGGTAACAATGGAACATGTCCAACTTTAATGTTGAACAACCAACAATTACTAATAAACATCGATTGTTTACTGAACCAACTAGAATGTCAACGTTTCAATGAATGTCCAAATGAAGATGATGTAATCATAAATCGTTATCGTCGATCTTTTTTCCTCAATGGTTCGATCTTATTTCATCGTAGTTATCTGTTGATCAGTCATTTATCGAATGAATTAACAAGTGATATCTATCGTTTCCTTCTTCACTATGGACATTTGAATGTAGCACAGTTTCCTTGCGAAACAGGACAATTATTATTATTCAAGGAAATTTATCCGACGACTTCTGAATCAAAATCTCGATATTTCCTAGTAGTCTGTACTCATGGCGAACTAACGCTAGCTGTGATTATTGAAACAGAATATGAGAGACATGATTTCAAGTAAATGAAACTGAAGATAATTCTCCTAGTTTTGACTTTCATATCTTTTGTTCTAGTATATCACCTGATCATGGAATAATTCAACAGATAAAGTTAACTTTAAATGATATATATTCAATCATTCCGAAACTATTAGGAAATGCATCGCCATGGCATCTCTCATCGCCTTCAGCATTTTTGAAAAAACAACTAAAACGAACTATTTCATTACCATTAATAGGAGGTATGTGAAAAGGTCAATCTATTGCAATTATGCGTGATTGCCCTTCTTATATTGCTTTTCAGGCTTTAATCAATCTACTAAACCCACTACAACTGATGTCAACATTTACGACACGACATCCATTGCATCTTCTCACCAGCATGATCCATCTGTAACTGATGCTCGAGTCACACAATTAGTCAGTCAACCTGAATCACAAGATGAATTATATAAAAGTAGTCGACAATCATTTCGATCTTCCACATTGTCTCTCGATGATGCGCAACCGAATAAAAATCTGCAATTGAATCTCTCAACTTATCGATTACATCCTGGTGCTTATTCAACCATATTTTACTATTTAGATTTTCAATCCGTCCGAGGTTTACTCATAGCGCCCTATTTTACTTTGGACAAACTCACTCATACAACATTGCTTGATCGATTATTGTTCGAAACGATTCAGCAAACATGCATCTATATACGACAAAAACATTTTTCTCAATCAACACAAACAAAAGCGAGCGGCTTATTCAGTAGAAAATCTCGTCCGAAATATTCCGAAATCGGTTGTCAATTCGCTTTGAACACCGATTCGGACAGCAAGAAGAAAAAAGATGCAAATCTATTTCAATTTTGGATCGTTGGTAGAAAATGTTTTCAACCAATTGAACACGAATTTTTTGTTTGCTATTATGATTCAATCGCGCAAAATATTACTGAATTAGCATTCACAATTGGAATGTCATCAGTATAAAGCTAAACTTATCAAATGATCTGCTGAAAGTTTTCTGTTTTTCTAGAATTGTAAACGAACTTTTTAAGTATAAAATAGAAATCATGTTAAAAATCATATTCAAGGAAAATGAATGGTGTTGCTAAACAAAAGATAATTATTTCTAGTATACCATTGAATACACTTCTCTTATGCTGAGAATTATACAACAGCAAAGTATCTGATTTCATTCTGTATGCATTTTTGCTTTTGTGAATATGATTGACTATCATTGCGATAGTCGATTACTATTATGAACAACAATAATGACATGATGATCATCAGCTGATGTCAATATATTTTTCAGTCTTCATTCTCTTGGCGTCAGTGAATGTAGCGGCGCGATGCGACTTTCTCTTTTTTTGTCCCTAACATCGTTGATTAGGATTCAAACTGTTTTTTTTTGTCTTGCATACTATTTCTATCCATAGACAATTACACTACTGTTATTGTTGTTGATATTGCAGATAGTAACGACAACTCTCGCAGGAATGACAATAACATAGAATCTGTCTTTAATAGTTTTTCTGCTCTTCATGTATCATCACAGTATACAGCGCAAGCGAAAGGATAGAGAATAACAAAACATATTTCTACATGGCAGACTATTTTTCTTCTTCTTTATTTCGGTTTTTCCTCGTATAATATGCAATAAATAAGATATTCTTTTGTCTCTACCGCGATATACATATATGTATAAAGTACCTATAGAACAACGTCGAAATCTTCAATAATAGCATCGTTTTTCGGTAATAATCTCGAATAAAAACGACTAATTCAAAGTAGGAGTTTATTATCCTCGATGTTTCTCTTAGTTTTTCGCGAAAACTCTCGCCACGTTTCCTTCCGTGTTGATTAGTAAATATATTATTCTTACTATCTCTCTCTCTCTCTCGACGCACACTCAATTCATGCTTATCATGATTACAATAATCAGTGTACACAGTACTGGTAACAGCCGTAGAAATATATCGTAGATGTGATAGTTTTGTCCACAGGAAAGATGTACGGAGAAGTAGGCAGAATGACAGACCTCGTTTGTATATAAATAAACAAACTACATATATAAATCAGATCTTGATAAAGAAAATTTTAACGATTAGTTTTGATTAGAAAAGAACAGTTTCTTTTTCACACAATGATTCGATTAATGTTTTATTTCGATCGATAATAAGGTCAGAGGAGACAACGAGCAATTGTACATCGAAAATTGATTTGTTATTTCACCTTTATGTGATTTGCTTTCTTTGTATATATACATTATTTATTTTAGATGTCTCGTTCTACATTCCTGACGACAACGTCGTCATTTGAGTCAAGTGAGACTCCCGCTCTTCCGACAACAACAAATCCCAAAGCAGATCATACACGTGCTCTTCATTTTCATCACCGTCTCATGCCGACTATTTCTTCAAGTAGTCGATCCAACGAAACCGTGCCCGTTCGTGTTGTTCAATCATCTTCAACCACAGATTCAACAACAACAACAACAATTACCACAAATACTACTCAACATAAGTCAGTAGTACGTCTTAATCCGAAAAGTAAAAGGAATACAAGAGATAAACGTCGTGCGACTGGTATTCGACCGGACGATGTTATGTCAGCGAATGCATTGAATGATGTGAGTTCTCTTGAGCATCATGATGATTCTCACTCGATTCTTACTTAGACTCCTTTCAACAATGATGACGAAGAGGACAATACAAATCCACACAATCAATTCATTACATTGACTAGTGTCGAACCCAGTGAATCCATGGTTCATAATCGAACGGTATGAAAATGATTATCTCGATCATATTGTCAGTAGGCTTTAATGCTGTTTTTCTTTGTAGAGTTCTCCCAAATCTGTATTTACAGTCAGCCGAGTGCAGTACGTATGGATATTTTCTGGCCACAGGGCCGTAAACTAATCGTTGTTTTACTTATTCAGACCGACATTCGACGAGAATACCAGACATACATTCGATAAACTAACAATTTCACGAGCAGGTAACTTATCTTTTCAAACACATCTATGTACATGTCATTCGAGAAAAAACGTTCCTTCTACAGATCCTTATGCAATAACATCAACCCCATCAACAACAATTTTCCAGCCTACTGAGTTTATTGTTCGTCGGGTAGGCCAAAGCTTATTTTTGTGTTACATTATTATTACTTCTTCTTTCGTTATTATCTAGCAACCATCAATTGATGATTCTTCAACGATGAAATGTCGACAGCTTGAAGAACGTATTCGTGCACTTGAAAATCTTGTGCATGAAAAAGACTCGATTATTCACGATTTACAACGAAAACTCGATAACACGACTCGAGTAAACATCCTGAACTATACTGCTTTATTCGATTTCTATCGTTTCATTTAGGACTTGAATGATGCCGAACAACAAATCTATATCCTGCAACGAGATAAACTAACATTGATCAAAGCTTTGACGAACTTGGAAACAAATTCATCTGGTGGCACAGATCATTCTGCGTCTACAGTTCGAACTGGTTTCATCACAAGAAATTGAAAAAGGAAAAGATTGCGTGTACGAGTGTGTTTGCGTGTGTTTTCTTCTGTATAAATATGAAATATATAAATACTTGGTTTATCTAGAGAATGGATGTCATTCTAAGTGACAAGAGTTATGCCGAATATGTAAACAATATCTGTCACATGAAGGAGACCAGGAAAATAAAGAAAGATGTTAACAGTCATTAGATGATTAGTTATCGTTAAGGATGTTGCTGCATAATGTTATTGTCTTTCTTATTTTTATTCTCCTTCATCGTAAGTCTAAAATATAAAAGACGAATGTTTCTTCTTTTTTTTCTAAATGAATAAAATTAATTGAATAGATGTCTGTGGAAACGATGATCTCTGTCGATTAATTGAACTCGATGTGCCACAGGGCGTCATTTCCTATCAGTTCAATGATGTTCAAGAGAAATTGTTTTATAAAACGGATTATATCTGTCAAAATAAACCAGTTTTTCGCTCGATGAAATATTCAAATCTGTATCAGTTTCAATCATCGACAAATCGCCGGTGGTCTCTCTACGATACCACTAATTCAACGTATAAAATAGGACGTCGCGAATGGTGTGATGGCTGGAATATGAAACCACTACTTTCTATGTCATTAGGCATGTTTCAACATCCACTTGGAAAACAACGGCGAGGGCAACGGTGGCAACAGGTGATTGTTCATGAGACAAATAACAGTTATACATACAAACCCACACCAAGTAAGATATAAACTGTTAAAGTCGAGAATTTCATTTCTGCGCTTTTCATTAGAGAAAAACGATACGACATATTTTATGATATACACTGTCTAGTTTCGAGGCATCTCATAGACAGAGTTTTCGAAGAAATGATATCTTACTGCTTAGTTTAAGAAGTTCTCTTCGCATCTTATGCTAAGTTGTCTATTTCTGTCATTTTCCTATCTTATCTTTGACAGTTCGAGTACTTCAAGTCATGAAGAATAAATCCATATTGATTACCTTAACTAGAGTGTTGAATAAGTTACTTTACGCTCCGATACTATCCCTCGTAAGATTCAATCTACAATGATTGTCAGGGTAAACAGTCTACTATGAGAAAATATCGTTCGTTTGAGAATTCATGTCACTACGTCCTTCATATTTCATTCGACAATTTGATGAATTCATTCTATTATCATGCGTTCCTAGCATATTTTTCGAAAATAATTAATCAAAGATAAGGCGAATATCTTTGACTACCATAGATGTTCATCTCAAATGTTACTATGCATCATCACCGTCATCGCCATGTCAAACGCGTCAATTAGCTTTTCTCTTTGATTTAACTGAAACAACAACGGACCAGGAATTTCATCAAATGAAATTATTGGCTAAATCTCTTATCTGGTTACTCTATAATCAAACACAAGTTGCTCTAAGTTATTATCGTGATACATTTCATTTGATGCATTCATTTGACAATCAGACATCATCGAAAAGTCTTGAACAATTGTTTGACTCAATTGACGCGCTCAATAAACAATTAGAAACGCCAAAGCGTTTCACTGTGCGATGGGCAGAAGCTATACATAATGTTGCAACACAAATCTTCAAGCGTCGTCTCTTGCTACCAATGAGTGTAATCAATTCTACTGATCAATACCAATCATCAACGAATGAGACAACTGACGATGAAGTCTATACGGAACCATATCCATTAATCTACTCAGATGACCTCGCAATACTGACAATTCTTAATATAACAACAGAACCGTATCGAGACAAGCGCTCAATCAATACGAAACACGATAGAAAAAATCATGTTCTTATCCTGTTGACATCACGTTCAAAAGATATCTATGATTACAAACAACGTGATAGACGTTTAGCACAATTTGTTGCATCGGTGCCACTACGAATCATGGTAGTTGATTTTAATAAACTATCAGATAGGAGGGTAGCTGAATATATACACTCAGCATTTGTTCATAGTGCTAAGTATGCTTTAGTTTCGCCACCCGCGACATATAATTATATTAAAACCTACGAGAAACTTGGTGATGCTGTACATGGAACTCAACTCTTCGATCATTACGATCGCATATGTCAAACCGTTGACGAACTACTTCTAAATCAAAACTATACTTCTAATATCATAGAAGCGGACGTTCGCTCCACAGGTGAATGCCCACTATTGACATTGTCAGACAATCAAGATATGAGCTCGAGTTTAAAAGAAAAATTCGATTATACATTTTATCAAACAACTGACCGATGCTTTTTTGCACCTGTCTATCGGTCATTGGGTGATCGGAATATATATGCGCAGAAAATACCAAACGGTCGTTGGGTGATTATTAATGTGGATCCACTACTGCCGTCGACAATGACTGTCCAACAAAGACTGGCGTTAACCACTACCAGTACCCTAGCACGTAAGTTTGGTTGAAATAAATCTGGATTAGAACAGCGCATGTTTCAATCACGTTGACTTTCACGAAATCACACTTTTCATTGCTGCACTTTCTCTTCTAGCGGAGTTCGTGGATGCAAGCGACTATGCCAATGGTCCACTGATTGATGATAATTATGTCAACAACAATCGAACAATATATACCGAAATGCCGATGAGTGTTCCACATTGTTCGAATACTCCGGGTATAGACGTTCTATGGGAAAGCGAGGGTAACTATGGCATGAATGACTATTCTTTACGTACGCCTCGACAATGGATATCATATACCAATCAGTCTGATTTGGTTCCCCCAGTTTGTAACAAGTATAGAATATCTTGTCATAGTACAAACTATGATATTCTTCTTCTTATTGATTCTCAACATCAATACATATCTTCGATACAAACGTTTCTCGAAATATTTCTAGCATTAATCGA